TATATATTTTATCATCTAATATAACTGTTACCCTCAATTTAATTATTATAATTTTGGCTTCGACAGTGAATATTGAGATATGTTTTTCATAACAAAAACAAATTAAGCAAAAGCTTCAATTTATTTTGAATTAAAAAAATGCTTGATTTTTGGTTTATTAGTGTTTATGATCATTATCTGATGGAGGTTTGGTCGGCCCACCTATAATGGGCCCAATTCAAACCTTCATATGATGTACTATATTGTGGTCCCACGCAACGAGGCCTATCTGTGTCATTTCCTCACTCGCTTTGTTAAGAAATTGTCGTTTTTCTTTTTCTTTTTTTTTCTTTTGAACGTGTTGATGTTATTATATCAATTGGGTTTCATATAATAATTTAATTCTTATGAATAATTCCAGTAAATTTAATTCTTATTGGATTCAAACCATGTAAATTTAAAAATTGATAAATAATTTACAGTGCTACTAAATAAAAAACTTATTAATTCTTACGAAATTTTACATATATGTAAAATTTAAACGCTTATCATAATAAGAAATGTATCTAGGCACTTAATTAATTCTTAAAAGTTAAAAATGATGCATTTTACATTTACATAAATAAATATGACACGAAGAAATGAATTGATAAAGGGAAGGGATTTGTATTATATAATTGTGAGGGAGAACGTGGCATATTTTTATTTTATATGTACTGATATTAAATAATAATATCCTTTTCCTAGAATTAATTTATTATTTATATATTTTTTAGAAATATAATTATTATTTTACTATAAAATAGTTTTGTAGACATGCAAATCTGTTATCGTTAATTGATGCATGTTTGGAGCGAGGCTGGCGTAGGTAAGTTTTCTTTTATTCTTTCTTGTTTTTGGTCTGCCCGTCGCAAGTTTTCTATATGTATTATTGTCATTGATAAACACGAAATGCGACATACTGACGCAAAGTTATCTCTACGCAATTATTAATTTCTACTACCAGGTTTTACAAAGAGAGTTCTCTAAGAATTAAAATTTTATTTTCTACTTTGCAGAGTGATACTTTGAATTAAATACAGAAATTAAAAGAAAAGAAAAGATTAGTCATAACTACAATTAATATTGTAATTTTAAAGTTAAAACTTTTGTTAACAGATCTTTTTTATATATCTAGTATTCTAGCACACTTTTAATATGAGACTAGTTTTATTTTGAGATTCATGATTTATATCTCCCGGTAAATTTGAAAGTTGAATTGAAATGTAATAAGAATCAAAATTGCGGGCAAGAATTATAGTCCCGAAATCAGTTGGCGGAAGTTGATAAAATTTGACCGAACAAAAATGTTGGTGCCTGGGAAGCAACAGAAAGAAACTTAGACAGGTAAGCTGACATTAAAGAAGGAAAAGTGGATGTCAAATGTCAAAGAGTTGGGGCAATGAGCAGTAGAAAAAAGCAGAGGCAGAGAGCGAAAGGCAAGTAGCACCCTTTCAAGGAGACAAGACGGCGCACGTAACTAACAAGCCAAAGCCTCCAGACTCCAGGGTCGGTATACACCCAACCCAATCCGATCCCTTGTTTTTAGAATAATATTACTGCTTGCAAACACCTTTACCTCTCTACACCCTACACAGCATAACTATGACGACCTTGTTTTCCTATTTTCTTTTGTTTTTTAGCAATTCCGTGTCAACTTTGCGCCTCTTGGTGACCGCGAAAAGCCAATTCCTTCTCTTTGATGACTCATAATTCTGGATGTATGGATGGTTATCAGAATCTCAAACATATTATATTATGTTGATCTTTTTAGGGGAACAATACATGCATGTTCGTTTTTCTTTAACCGATCACCCGTGCAACTTGGAACCCAAACCTTGAGTTGAACAAAATAAAGCCAAAAAGAAGGATTTGACTGAAATTTTTTACCAACTTTGACGCATGAATCGTGTTTATCTTATCCTTGGTGATACTCTGGCAAAAGTTTAACAATTCGACGGAAAGTTAGCAGTCGCAATCAGCTTCATAGCTATCCAAAAAATTTTATACTTTACAAAAGAAATAAGAGAAATCTTAGTTTATAACTTATAAGAAAAATAAAGATCATAGAGGGTTGGTGTGATAATCTCATTGGCATTTCACATTCTATAAGAAATGCGGGAAGTGGAAAGTTTGAAGTGGAATCATCAAATTTGGGTGATTTGGCATCATTTTAATAAAAAAGAAGAAAGAATACTAAAAAAAAAACAAAATTAATTGAAATATATTTCATTATTTTTGCATCGGCGAGGAGGAAGGTTTCATTAGAATATTAAGGGCACTGTTAAAAGAAAAAGAAAGAATGTGATTCCACGCAATCACATCATTCTTTGTTCAAAATTCTTTTTGGATGGATACATATATATAAAAGAAATAAGGCATGCATGCATTATGCATATTTTCCTTTCATACTTGGGAGTTGAAAGTAGAAAAAAGAAAAACAGAAATGTTATTAACAAATCACCCTGAGGCCTGAGCGTGAACTCATCTTTGACTGTTTCTAAATATTCACGCGCCGAAGTTGCGTACTTTTTGATTTTCATCTTTACTGATCATAACCGTTCAAGTCTATGTTATAAATTATTCATCTCACCCAAAGTTTTCTCAATAAGAGTGATTTTAAATTTTAAAGATAAATTTCATTTAAAAAATTGATCCCACTAATACACGTTTAGATTTATGTACAATATATTATTAGGTGCAATAGCAGTATGCATCGTGCCATTTGTATTTAAATTAATAGATATAATATATAATGTCATCCATTTCAATGTGAACGGGGAAATATGCTTCAATCAAGGCCAAAGTTTAAAATTTTTCACAAAATTGAACTTAGATGAAAAAAAAATTCATGCAAACAACCTATTAGTTTAACTCAAATAAACAAACTTATTTTTCATTTTATAAATAAATAAATTGAAATTATAATAAGAAATGATTAAGCTTAAATTACATAATTCATACGCAAATCTTACAATGTAAAAGGAAGAGAAAAAGAAAAGGTAATAGTCTTAAAAAAAGGAGTAAACCCACCCACCCAACATTTAAAACGTAACGTTCCACTTTAAATTTAATTCACTAGATTTGGATCCAAATCGAAAAGCAACACCTTTTGGCCAAGTTGGATGTTACGTTAAAGAAGCGTATTAATTAAATTAATTAATTAATTAATTACTAATCATAGTGGAATGTGGAAAGTGGAAACCCTCTTTTTGGTAAGAAAAAGTAAATTGGAAATTTTAGTCGGTCGTCTTGCTTTGCTTGGACCAAAGTGCATTTTGATTTTACATAGGCATTGTTGTTGGGCTTCTATTGAAATTTTGTGGGCTTCATAATTAACTCTCTCAATGCCTTGGACTAATTCTCCGAACACTGTGTTAAGGCCCAGTTTAGTATTTGCTTTGTTGGGTTAGTAAAGATAACGACAAGTTTGGGCCAGTTTGAACTTTGGGCCTACTAGGGAGTGTGTGGACAGCCCTACACTCAGCCGAAGCCAACCCATTTACATCTAAATAATTAGACGATTTTTGATTTTTGATTTTTTTTTTTTATTGAAAGGTTGAATAGACTAAAGTAACACTGCTGACTTTACAATAGGAATAAACATCTCTATTACTCACCAAATTAGTAAAAATTTTTATAATCGAGATGACTTGAACTCAAGATCTCTTACTCGTCATACCACCAAATCACACATGATTGATATTTTTGAATATATAGTTGCATAATATTAATTAAAACATGTGTTATTCACTTTAAATGATTATATTAAAACAATTTTGTAAATAAATATCAGCTCGTTTTTCTCCATCGTACTGTCAATTAGACTTTCTTTGATTTAGACAAAGGTTGAGGCTTTCTTTTTAATATTAGATTTTATATGGTTTATTGTATTTATTTATTTATTTAATATTTTATACACCCAGACTTCTATTCTTCAAAATTACTTCTAATTTTATTTGAACCAATTAAAACATTATTTTTTTTCTTTAAACAAATCAAATTTAAAAATAATAAAATGAATATTAAACTTTTTATATTTAATATTTTTTATTGTTTATATATATAGATTTTATTAGGATTCGTATATTTCAATATTAGTTCTTATTTTATTTTTCCAATCAAAATTTTCCTATATAATATTGCTGAAAAAACAAAATTACTATTTTGGTCAATATATGTATATATATAGATTAGTACAATCGTATTGGATTTTAACTTGATATTCCACTTTAAAATCCTAATTAAAGTTAGATATAGTTATCAGAATATTTAAGAAGTGAAATGTTTTGGTGCATGTAATAATGAAATAATTTTAATATCCTTTTAAGAATTATTGTTTTTCTCCTAAAATAATACCTTAATGAGTTTATACTTTGCTTTCCATGGCATAATAATAGATAATTGCCTCTCCTTTTCGGCTTTAGGTGATTAGGGCGAGTGCTTTGTTTATAATTTGAAGAATTAGTTAAAATTAATTAATTCTCCTCCATTGCACAATGATGCAGGGATGATAATGGAAAGGCACTTGGATGCAACATACTTAGCTCTTACTGGCTATGAAAGTTACAGGTCTGTGATAGCCAATTAGCGATCATTGCCATTATAGGAGCGTGACGAAAAGAAGTAGACTTACCAAATTTAGAACAAAAATAAACCATATTTCTTTTTAATTAGTTTACTTAAACTAATCAATCTCTAGTTATCATTATTCATTTCCATCTAGGCTTTACTGTAAGACTCGTCTCTCTGCCATTGGCCGGGTTCCTTACTTAATTCCTAAAATCCCCAATTCATTACACCTTCCTTTTTGTCAGTTTGTAGCCCCTAAAGGAAGCAAGGTATATAGAATTTAAAGTTGAATAATTAATCATCAACCAAACCACTACTGGTACTGTTTCGTTAACAACAAAAACACCCACGTTTCTTAAATTTAATCAAATCGAGCAATTAATTAATTACACTACACATATACTTCATCAGAAACAATAACCATATACAATGGCAAACTGAACAGTTTGATGACAAGTTAATAATATAGCAGTAGCCCAATTGATTTATTTCTGAACTGAATTGTTGGCAGAGAGGGTTGCTAACAAATCTAAATACATCAAAGAATGGAGAAGATGACAAACCAACTGGAGACAAATCCAAATCACATCCACACACATTTTAAAGAAACAACAGCTACTCGTAATAGAGACTAATTGAAGAAATCCCATGGGAATTTAGGTTGCTGGTGGTCTGAATTATTAGAAGTTGATGGCACAGGTAGTAATGGCGGTGCAGAATCAAATGTTTCCCACTGCGTAGTAACGACAACTGTGCCTGATTTGGAATGCTGTTCAGAAGCCAAGTGTTGTGCTTGCTCTTCTTCTATTGGCATTAGCCTCGGGCCATTAGGATAGTGATTGGGTTTCTGTCCGTTTGAATTATTATGCTTTTGTTGTTGATGCTGCTGCGTTATTGGTACGTGGTTTCCATTGCCATTTGGCATGGAGTTCTTCATCTTCAACATGTCTAAAGTCTCTACATATTTTTGAACTCTTCTCACCTTTATCAGAAAATAAATTTTGTAAAATTATTGAAATGTTAATTTTGCAATTTTGGAAAAGGAAGTTAATTAATTAAATTACCTGCATTTTTCTTTGTAATTTCGCATCTCCATCGGCCATAATTCCATCCAATTTCAACAATTGATTCATCAATAACTCAATCAAATTAAGCACATCTTTCTCTGCTACTTTCCCACCTTTAGTAATTACGGACTCAAGAGCCGACACCTACCCAATTTTAATCATCATATCAATATCCAAAAACAAAAGGAAATCTTTTTTTTTTTTTTTTTTTTTAATCATATTCAATATTCCAAAAAACAAAGGAAAATCTTTTTTTTTTTTTTTTTTTTAATACATTATAAGGAAAGGAAATACCTGGCCGGTTTTTTTTTTTTTTTTTTTTTAATACATTATAAGGAAAGGAAATACCTGGCCGGCGAGCCTATCAACTTCGAGGCTGATTTCTGAGATGGATTTTGAAGCCTTTTCCATTTTGGCGTTTCTTCTCATTTCAAGGAAACGTTTTTCTTGACTAATCGGGTCCTCAACAAGAACAATTTTGGACTTGTCTTTCACTCCAGAAATGTCCAGAAATGCATTTGAATCCCTCTCTTTGTCTTTGAATATCAGCTTTTGGTCTTGATGGTGCAGTCCTGTCGGTCCTGTCAACAGTTTTTTCAACTCCCCTGCATCCATAATCACAAATTAGCACAATTTTCAATCTAATTAAAAGAGCCAATAAATGAGTTCTGAAAGAGATTTTAAAATTTTACCGAATGTAGCTTGGGAGCTAATATTGATTTGGTGATACGCAGACCCGTACTTAACCCTAACTCTTATTGTCGGTGGAGGGATGGAGCTCCGATCGGAGTTCGGGTTTCGCTTCTGAACCAGCATTCCTCCCGGTCTAAGCTCCCACTCGTGCCCAGACTCGTTGCCGCCGCCTCCGCCGCCAGCTCTTGAGCTGCCATTCATAGTAGACAGCCCTGTCGGTTTAGTCTTCATTCTCATCATTTTATTTTTTTATCTTTTTTGACTATCCCTTGTGGTTGTGTCGGTTACAAAAATTTATGACACTTTTCAGTCAAAAAAGCCTCAGATCTCCAGAAACCGCGATTCTTCACGATCTGTGTTAGAAATCAAATATACCCATTTGAGAGGAAGACTGTGAGACCCTGTTTCAGAAAGCTCCAATCTCAGCATTACACGAGTCGAACCCAATAGCCCACGTAGATAGACAGGGCGTGACGTCTACAAGCTGCTACTTTTATTTTCTCTTTCTTCACAGAATCAATGGCGTCACTCAGAAGAAAAAACTCCAGCCATAAATGAATGAATGAATCTTCAATTCTTGCAATTCAAGAAAACTGAGCTCAATCGTTTGACACGCAGCCGGAAAATCGAGAATCTGCCAAAACCTTCAAACGGAGAAAGTAAATCCCAGATCTCTACCAAAATATCCAAAACCAAATGGCTCAACACTTAAAAGAATATCAATTTCTTCCTCTCCTCAAAATCAGAAATAAAAAATAAAAATAAAAATCTTAAACTCACCCCGATTTTTTCCCAAGAAAGCACACGGAAAATCAATTTAGAGTCAAAATCTAAGAATATGGGGATTTCAATGTGGAATAATTCCCCCTCTCTCACTTGCTGTTCTGGAGATATCGTAGAAGAAGAGAAAAAAAACATAAAGAGAGGAAATTGAAAATGAATATAAAAACGAGTGGACAGCTAACTGAGCTGTTGTTGTGGCTTGAGAACTATTTATACATATATATTGATACACATAATTTATGCATTATTGGAGATTATTTTATGATTAACAAAAATAAATTAAATAGAGAGAGAGAGAGAGAGAGAGAGAGAGGGAGACTGCGAAAGCCGCCAAAGCCACTGTTGAAAGGTTAAAACTCGGAAAAGAAAACTTTGGTCTTTCACCCAAGGATAAATTACAAATTGATCCCTATAATTGACCAATTATTTAGTATTATCTTTTTTTTTAAATACCTATTAAAACATAAAAATAACCTTTAATATAAAAAACATGAAAATTATAAAATAACATCTTAATTTTGATGTAATTTTCTTTTGGTTCGTGAATTTTAGGAGCATGAATTTTTTTTATAGGGTTTAATTGAAAATTAATTGTTCGCGATTTTCATATGAGGGAGAATTTTAGCAAAAGAAAGTACACATTAGATAAAAAGTATTTTGATTTTTTTTATTGGGCAGTTAGCAATAAAACATATAAAATTCAAAAAAGAAATACTTATCATCCAGTAGAAGTATACAGTAGGAATGCATTCATATTTTTTTTTTAAAAAAATAAGAAATATATGGTGACTTTATCAAATTATAGGGACCATATAGTAATTTACCATTCGCCAAACTATGAGCTAATGTTCAAACACATCCCGGTCTACATGAGTTCGAATAGGGGGTTCTTTCCTCTATAGTCCACGTGTATATTACAGGGAGATATAGGGGAATTTATAGTAGCCCAATCATTGTCTTGTTAATTGTGTGTTGTTGATGGTAGAAACAATTAGACACGTGGCATTTTATTGTGGCGAGCACGGTGCTGTGTCCGTGCGAGGTAAGGACTAAGGAGGTTAGCTTTTAATTAAACAGTAAGTTGGCTTTGCCGGGCATCAATACCAAAAATAACAAAACCGGTGACGTTTCACCATCACTTGGTTCGCACTAGTGCCACTTTCAATGTAGGGGATTCACTTTTTTTTTTTTTTTTTTAAATATATATGTATGGAAATTTTTATTTAACATAAATGTTTAATTAATCAGTGCCACGTGCAAGGTCAACAAATCCCTGCAGACTGCTTTTTCGGTTTATAATTTCCTTTGTTATTAATACAAAATACCGACTTTTATTAGCTTAATTAACAATTTGATGTTACGGCTCATAAAAATTATAAAATACTCAATTAGATGGAAATTTAATTTTGGTCAACGATGGAGCTAAGGGGGGGTCTAGAGGTGATCCTGCCTCCCCTAAATTTTTTTTTTTTTAAAAGATTTTACCCATAAAATATTAAAATTTTTTTATTTTACTCTTTAAAATAGTAAATTTTTTAATTTTGCATCTTAACTCTTGAAATTTTTTTTAGCCCATCCTGATTTTAATTTCTGGCTTCATCACTGATTTTAGTTGACGTTAACTGTAAACTAGGGTTGGTCTTCTTATAAAACAGAGATATTATTAATCCAAAAAAGGTGTTTTTTGAACTTTTCAATCAGTTTCTCACAATTATAAATTTTAATTTGTAATAGTGAAAAAAAGTAAGTTGAAAGTGATGATTTTGGGTTTTCATGACCAATAGAAAAAATTTCTATCTCAAAAAATGATTGATAAAATAAATAAATTTTTTGACTGATTATATATTTTTCCTCATTTAAAAATTTTTAGTGTAGACATTAAACAAGTAGATGACACTGTCTCGTGCAACGGAACAGTAGTTGCACCTTCTATCATCTATCATCTTATTTCCATAATTAGAGTTGGATCGCAACTGCCCGGAAGATCAAGTTCCTTGCCAACTATCAAACCCAATCTCTTTTCATTTGTTTTGAGCACTGCCAAACCTAGCCTAGCCTTGGTCAATTACATTAAAGAAGAGGAGCCAACTATGGAAAGGCACCCTTAAGGTTAGTCAATCCATCTTGTTTGATCACATGTTAGTGATATTGTACATCGTTTCACATCAATAATGATAATTTTTTGGTGTTTTCAATTTTTGTACGTAAAAATTATAGTAATTGGTTGCGTGATTATAATAATTTTCAAATATGTGCAGAGTGTGTGGTAAGTGGCATTCAAAAATTATTATTTATGAATATTTGAATTTTTAGATTTTAGACCATATTCTTTTTGCTGTCCATCTGGTCCACATAAAATCACAGTTGCATGTATTCATCAATTAGTGGCTTTTATTTGTCAAGGATATATAGAGAGAATCCAATCATCATACTTGGACAAAAACCATGCCTGCAAAGTAATGCTACTTCAAATGCTGGCTTGCAACTTTATAAACCATTTGTAATTTTCTTGTCACCTAGAAAATTATTTTTGTCAATTAAAAAAATAATAAAGTAAACCTACAAATTAAATTAAAAATTTTTGTATAATGTTTTTTAAAATGATAATGGAATCATGCAAAGCATAGAATACTATTGAAAATTACATTTGGAGTCCTCAACGTTGCTAGAACTTTCGCAGAAATCCACTACAAAATTGTAATTGCAAACAAAGTACGAGCCACCAACTGCAAAGTAGCGAAGTACACAAAGTAAAAAAGAAAGAGAATCATAAATCCAAACTTGGACCACGTCAGTCAAATACTCTCCGTGGAGACCAAGTAAAAAATATACTGTTCTACTGCCATATAATGTTGCTTACGTCACACTCCTGTAAATTACACGTGGCTATTATTGGTTTCATCATCGGCCTTGCCAAAATCTAGGCCCTCAATTCTCCAAACTCAACCGCTCCTTTTTTTTTTCCTGCTCAGTCTTTCGAATACTCCTTTTCGGTTTTCAGTTTTCACTTCTCCCTGTCTCCCTCCTTGACTTTATTGCCTGCCACCGACAGTTCTACACGTTCGAGTGGCACGTTTTACAACTTATACGTGGGAATACCTAAGTCGTCCAGAACCAGAAGGTCATCCCACGTGGGAATAGTTGGGATTTTATTCTGTGCATAAGCAGTTTGATTAAGATAATGCAACTTATAATTTGCGTATAAACGAGTGAAAAGTGGCGGTGGGGATTGTATTGTACTCATTGCTTTATCTCCAGAATTCTTCCATTTGTCCATTGCATTTTGCACTCAATTTTTTTTTGTTTCTTAATACTTTAAAATTATTTATTTATAATGTTTTTTAAAAAAATATGTGGAATAAAGGATTTTTATCTCTAATTTTCTATACTAGATATTCAGTGAAATAAATATGTTCTCACGTTAAAAAAAAAAAAAATTGATATAGCATATATACGTGGAGGTAGGAGAGCAGATAGCACGGGGACAAAAATGAAGTGACAACAACAAGTAAATGAGAGAAAATCAAAGAAGTTAATTATATTTTAATTTTAATGAAGAAGTAGTTATAGGGTTTTGAGCAGGTTGGGCTACAAAAGCATGTTTGATAAGGAACAGGAAACCGACCACTGGGCATAAAATATTGTTTTGCCATGCCAATGGTTTCATACAATTTCTGTGGGACTGTAGTCAATTTATCCACCACGTGATCACGTAATTAATAAGCAGAGGAGTTATTTTAATAATAATTTTAATTAGTAATTTCAATTATAATATCATAAAAGATTTATGACATCCTTTTTCTCTAAAGTATTATATTTTGGCATATCACTTGTTATATATAGAAAGAGTAAAATTAAAAGGATACTTTCGTTATTTCTGTCTTTAATTCTAAAGAAAGTAATTCTTTCCGACTACTAGACGTGTGGATGAAAATGTCATTTTGGAATGTTATAAAAAATGGAAAAAGGAAAGGTTTTCCTCTGCCTCTGAATTGATAGTACTTACAGAAAAAAAAAAAAAAAAAGAAAGCAGATTTGTGTGCCACCAGATAGGAGGCCTCTGTGTTGTGAACCGACAATAACATCATATTTCAAGTGAACCAAACAAGAATTATATATAATATACTTATTTTTAAGTTTTTCAAAACAAGAAAATCAATGTAGTGTTTGACAATCTTGTAATGTGTGCCATGCAAAAGCCCTCCTCTCTAAGCAATCAATTAGGAATTGATGAATTGAAAAAGAATTTAAAAAAGAAAAAAAAAAAAAAAAAGCAGCAAAATTTGTGTGCCACCAGATAGGAGCCTCTGTGTGTGAACCGACAATAACATCATATTCAATGAACCAAACAAGAATTATATATAATATACTTATTTTTAGTTTTTCAAAACAAGAAATCAATGTAGTTTGTTTGACATCTTGTATGTGGTGCCATGCAAAAGCCCTCTCTCTAAGCAATCAATTAGGAATTGATGAATTGAAAAAGAATTAAAAACTTAATTGACCAATCTCCAATGCAATTAATTTTCCTAATTTTAGCTAGCCTATTGTTTGGATCAAATTAATTAATTAATTAATCTGGATGACAATGAAAATAGAAGTGCACCATCTTTTAGGGTTTCTTTTTGTATATTTTAAGCATATTATCTTTAACAAGCAACATCCAGTATTACTATCTTGCAAGTCAAATGTCTGCCTAATCTGATTTTGGCCTTCCACTGGCAATTTGACATTTTATGCTCCAATTATGATGTTTCTCCTAATTTTTTTTAATTAGCTAATTGAGATGGGAAAATTAACACCAAATCCAATTTCTAGCACATCATCTTTTATTAATTAGATTGTGTATATTTGTTGTTGTAGGAGGAGGGAAATAATTAGATTGTCATCACTATCAGATCATAAAAATTTGAGACCTCCAAAGCCACTCATATTGTTGACCTAACAGAAATGCACCAATTGATGTCACAAGTTACGCACAATAAGGTGTCTCCATCGTCACCAAATGTCAATTGACTTCTACCACAGGGTGTTATAAGGTCTCTTTTTATTAATTAGTTAGTTTCTTCATTAGCTAATTAAGGTTAATTACATTCGAAAATGAAAATGCAACTACTAACAAGTTAATATATGAACGTTCAACGACTTTGAAGATGTGAACCATCACCTACAATTCCAGAACCATGAAAAAATTTGTGATTATTTTCCACTAATTAATTACATTGATTTTTTCATAAATATCTAATTAATCAATTAATTAATTTTGCATGAGATGTATGGTTATATTACCACTTCAATTAATTTTGCCAACTAATGGATTCCGAAAGCCAGAAGCCATGAAAATGATGCACCATAATCCATACAAGAACAGCACATGGCCACTAGTGTCCGAAACCGACGCATATTTATTTGTCATTCAACCAAAAAAAACGACGACTTTGTATTATTACTATAATTTCATGTGTTAGTTATAAATTGAAATGTTTAATAAATATAATTTTAAATTTTAAATTTTTAAATTAAAAAATAAAATTTACGTATTGTAAATTTTGTGAAATATTCCATTATGAAATGGAGACATAATTATAAAGCAAACAGCATGACAAAGGGATTGGTGAAGAATTTTGAGGAAGAAAAACAAAAATAATGTTGGTATCATGTCATGTTAGAAATGACACCATCATTAGTCTAAGCCAGTTGGCTTTCAAATAAGTGGTCTACCATTGCCTTTATTATTATTATTATTATTGTTATTTTTATTATTTTTGATTATTATTAACCCATATATTATAAAGTTTGATGAGGCTAAATATGAGAGTAAAGAGTAAATAGTAGCTATGGTATGGTCCTTAAATAAGTTATTAAAATAAATTTTTTCAAGTAATGATTAGTTAATTATACAAAGTTTCAATGAATGAATGACCATAACTTATATTAAATTAATTAACCCTCTACTATTTAAAGGTAGTCAAGCCTACTAATTGATGATGGACTCAACTGCCGCATTATTTTAAAATCAGAGCTTCGCAGGATCATATCATATGCAGATTCTGCTCATTCATTAAAATTAAGCTTGTCTAGGATGACCAACATATACATTTTATGTATCTCCTGTTTTCTTTCAACATATATAAAAGATAATATACAAACAAAAGATTCTATGTCACTATGTTGGGAGCTCCATTTTTACTTTCCTGTTCAAGCCCATTAACAATCTTAGAGATTCCCATTTTTCCACCGGAGTTGATGTCCCATTTGTCCATGTCTCCTCCTGCGCATACTGACATGCATCAGTCCCTATCATAGAATTACCTCCAAGCAACTCCTATCAATTCGAAGGGTAAAGAACCTTATCTCAGAAAAAACAAGGGTTAAACATTTGGTTAGACAAAGAAGCTTATCGACATTGAGCATGTAGACCATATTCAGCCGAGACACAATCCCCAAGCTTTGAATGACATGCAATGGCAGCCCTAAGTTGCTATTTTCAATTTACAATTAATAGGAGTTCTCAGAAAGTCAAATCTAAGCCTTTTATCTACTGCTCAACTCAGCCTGTTCAAAGCAATATCAAGGTAACAATTTAGAACTCTTCGCTTACTTCATGTTTCGCGATTAACTTCAAAAGGGAAACAATAGTCTGCAAGTGTGTGTCCGGTGAGCAACAGGTTGTCGTAAATGGAGCAGCAAAGGAAATAGGAAGGGCTGCAGTTATTGCAGTGAGTAAAGCTAGAGGAATGGAAGTAGCAGGTGCAGTTGATACCCATTTTGTCGGAGAAGATATTGGAAAGGTTTTCTATTCTAGTCTTCATTTCTTCTCTCATTTTCACCCACTCTGTCCTTTATTCGAGGAAGATATCTTCCATTTCTTTTTTGTTTTGGGTAATTGTTGACTACTTGGTTCCCAGATTGTTCAGCCTATTAATTCCTTCTTTCGCCCATCTATTTTTTCCATAGTAGCTCTGTGACATGGAAGAGCCACTGGAAATACCCATAATAAATGACCTCACTATGGTTTTAGGTTCCATATCTCAGGTAAATATAACGAAATTACTCTGTCCTTATCAATATTCATCATAAAGGAAAAGTAATCGAATCCTTTTTTTTTGGAATTATGAAATTCTGCAGTCAAAAGAAACAGGAGTAGTCATTGATTTCACTGATCCTTCTACAGTCTATGACAATGTGAAACAGGTTCACTGTCTTTGAACCGAAGCCATGAATTTCTGAAACATCTTCAAATTCGTATTTCGTTATAATCAATTAATAACTACTAATGATAGTTCACTTTCTCTTACATTATCTGATAGGCAACAGCATTTGGCATGAAAAGTATCGTCTATGTGCCTCGAATTAAACTAGATACAATTGCCGCATTATCTGCATTATGTGACAAGGCCAGCATGGTGAGCACAGGGTGAGATATTATAGTTAAACTTTCGTTTATATTCTTTTTAACCTGTGTGAACACTTCCGTTCTTCCAAAGACCAAAATATTCTTCCAATTTGTACACTTCAATTGGGCTGCACCAATGACAGGGTTGCCTGGTTGCACCAACTCTATCCATAGGATCTATACTCCTCCAACAAGCAGCTATCTCAGCTTCCTTCCACTACAACAATGTAGAAATCGTGGAATCAAGGGCACAAGCAGCAGTAAGTTACATGAAATAGAGTTGCCTATTTCACTCGGACTTTTATAGTTACATTTGTAAAATATGCAAAAAAAGTACATAACAAGGTAAAAGGGAGAGTGAACCTGCAAAGAAAGGGCCTCATATCCTTGCATAGGCTCTCACATCTTTGATATCTGCAGTACCAATGTATATATGAGTTTACAAGCTCTCTATGTATATACTGGCAAATGGACAATCATACAAAAAAAATATTTCTTTTATTCCCTACTATTCTCTGTATGCTCGTGATTATGTCCATACTCCAATATGATAATCCAAACCTTGTGGATAAATAAAAGCATTAGATGTAATGAAATTATCTTTCGTGCACAGGACCTTCCATCAGCAGATGCATTCCAAATTGCAAAGAACCTCTCCAACCTGGGCCAGATCTACAACAGAGAAGACTCGTCAACAGATGTTTTGGTAAGCAGGCACAGCGCATAACCATATCATACTATAGCCAGTAAGCCACAATTGATGCAAAAAAAGTTATACAGACTACTCATATTTTTTCCTGGTCCATAAGCATGGTGGGGTTCAAAAAAGGTGAAAACCACATTTGGACCCAATCTTAAATGTGCAGTGCTGAGGAAGCTCGTCTCATTTAAAACTTCAAGACCCTAGACTTTAATTGTAATTTGATGACTCATTTTGCTTTCATCCTACAAGGCTAGGGGCCAGGTTCTGGGAGAAGATGGTGTTAGGGTGCATAGCTTAGTCCTACCAGGGCTTCCCTCCAGCACAACAGTTTACTTCTCTGGCCCAGGAGAGGTACAGTTTCCAGTTCACTTTTCTGAACATTGAAAAGCATTAAGATAAATTATACCTTTCTACCATGATAATCCAACTATTTTACTGCCATTGACCACAGGTTTACTCCATCAAACATGATATCACAGATGTGCAGTGCCTCATGCCTGGCCTAATCTTGGCTATTAGAAAGGTCATCCGTCTTAAGGTAATCAATCGTGTGATATTTCATCTCTTTCTTGATACTTCCAGCTTCAGCCTTCAACCCATCTTGAAGTAAAATTTACTTTTGTCCTTGTTTTTGTGCAGAATCTGGTGTATGGCTTGGAAAAGTTTTTGTAAGAAGCCAAATATTCTTTTTGAAGAAAACACATCATTGTGCAGACAAATATTTGACAAAGGACGCTTCAGTGATACATTAGATAGAAAAGAAGATTTTTGTAACTTATGCTTAAAGTCAAGCCCATTGCTTTAGTTGTTCACCACAAAAATGTAATTCAACATATCTTTGGGAGAAGAAGTTCAATTTGCATATAAACAAGGATCCCTTTAAGATGTCATGAAAGTAGTTAAATAAGAGCAGGGTTGTCTCTGGGAAGTCATACCAAGAGGCAGAGCAGTTTAAAGCATTTAAAAGCCCTATTCTGCAATTTCTTTCTTGTTATTGGTCTAATTGCCAATCGTGCTGAACTTCAGCAATATAATCTTAAGGAATCTATATCCATCCTGCAACAATCAAACAAATCTGCATTTTTAACTCTTATACAAATATAACCTGCCCAAAGTTGAAATTCAACTCCTAAATGTTATCCAGTATGGATTAATAAGATAAATTTAGGATCTAATCTAACCATGTTCCAAATTAATACAGCTGTAACACATTCATCATTCCCACTGCTAATCTCTAAAGTGATCTACTTAACGAAACTGATTATAGTTCGATAGATTCTTTATACATTCATGACTATATCATATGATTTTCACCATCAGAGATCTTTGGACATGTCTTGTACATTGAATTTTGAAATTTAATTGGCCAATAGTACCATTGAACAGCAAATTCACTAAAAGGGACAGAGGGAAGCAAATTTTACGGATACAAATGGACTTCCTGTTGCACCTTCCATACAAAAAAGCTGGGAACTTAGCCTATAAGAGCTTAAGCATTCAATTGTCCAAATGAAATATCCCTCCCACCAAAAATCAGGCTACAGATCCAAATTTTAGTTTTTATCATTGATACTGTCAAATGCTTTATATCTTCATTCTTAAACAACAATATCACAAAACTCAAGTTCTTGGGACGAAATTTATCTGCAATCTGCAGCATCTCCTGCTCTCTGAATTACTTTATCCAGAAATGTAGTAACTTCTTAGACATGAAAGTTCCAGCAGCAGTTCCCATAATAGCTAATCAGCAGAGCTTAGAGTATATACTAAAAAACAAAGATAACTTTACCAAATCTTCTATAGGATCCATTTTGATAGCCTGGGAGTTTATAAACCAACGGAATTTGAGTATGGGATTACCTAATAGAGTTGTAAAATTTTCTGGAGGTAGAAATTCATACATAAAGACTTCAGGACACTTAATGCACTTGCACTTCTGATGGAATGAATGCATGCCACTTGTTTGCAGACATACTTTCAAGATAATGAAAACAAATAAGAAATAGCACAAATTTCCAACAAGTGAGTTACTCATGAACTATAGTGATTTCAACAGTACTTCAGTATGTTAAACAAGGAAAACTAAAAGCAAGTTTTAGTCAGCACCTGCACAACCAAGCATTGAGACTGCCATGCTTGAAGCAGTCACATAATCAAAGCAGCCTTTTACTGGATACTGATAATTCAAAATTGAGCCATAAATTTGTTACAAGTCTGAACATGTGCTTTCACCTCCAAATTTATTTGTCACTGCCCTTATCCAGGCTCTATCTTTATCACCATATGCGTACTCCATGCTTGAAGCCAACAAGACAAAACCTTCAATCTTTTCCATCTCATTAGCACTTTTAGCTCTGGCTTGGTGCACTGGCTCCACCAATAATGAACGAGTTCCCTTGGGAAGCATCTCCCACAGTCCAGATTCTGATATAATGATCAAGACATCATATGATATCCACAATAAGAAAAGTCATTAGAAGAATCATAGCTCATAAGGATAACTTTCTCTGTTATAGTTAACATATTGATCAGACTCAAGTTTCCAGGTAAACTACATTTCTTAGTTATGTCAACTAAGATGAGAATACTGCAGATGGTCTTTACCGTTCTTTGTGAGGTCTAAAAAAATAAAATAGCTGTCAGTTCCTCTATCTGACAAATAAACCATAAAGACTAAAGCAACAACAGATATCATGACCTTAAAGTGAAATGCAAGGCAAAATGGCCAATGCACGGAGCAAAGGAACAACATTCAGGGTACAGTGAGAATAAAAGAGAATTAGCAGTTCACTGGGGCATGGATATGATTAATCAGAATAACTATGCAATTTCTTGATTTCCATTGATATACAAACTTGATATGCTAATCTTCTTATTTGAAGCTTGCTTGGGCCTGGGAATAAAGAAAATTGCAGTAACCCCAATACATATTTAATTTACCAGGTCCATTATTAACCAATATATCTAACAATAAGATATCCGCTTCAGACATATACTAGAAAGTGAAAAGGTTCTTATATTACCTGCAGTCTGTGGAAAATAGAGGGTGTCCCTTAAGTCAAACAAACCAATGCTATCGATCTGTTTCAAAAACCAATCAAGTAATTGAGCCTTTGATAAATTATCTGGTGTTTTCCAGTATCCACGAACGCATAATCCACCTTGAATTGATATCAACTAGGAATTGAGAAAATAGTCATAAGTTGGTAACTTGACAAATAAAGTAGCACTGTATTTATTATTTAGGATTCTTTTATTTTATCTTATTGACAGCTTATTGGATTTTCAACTTATTCATTTAGACAATAATGGAATAAGTTTGTTTGAGTTGAACCAATAAGCAGCTTATCTGAAAATTTGCAAGCCAAAATTTTTTCTGATAAAAAAAACTTCTTTTGAGAGTTGATTCAATAAGCTATATCGCTTATTAAAAGACAAAACTGTCTCATACAATTATAAAATGATAGCATACCTTTCTTAATCATTTAGCGCAATAATCTATTAATTCAGATTCAACATTCAGCCAAAACAAACAAGACTTTAGTCTATATAAAAATATATAAAATAAAATCCTATTAAACTCCAAGATAGAATATAGCCACCCTATAGTTTTCATATGTTTAGTTCAATTTCATAATGGTTACCAGAGAAACATACCACAGCTATGGTGTTTGTGTTTCGTAATAAAACATAGGTTGCCCAAGCCAAGTCCTCCTTCTGAGTATCAAATATATTCTCAGACATCAGAAAAATCTGCTCAGCACCTCCAGGAAGAGCTGCCTGATCCATTGGCCTTACACCCTGTAATATTATGCATTCCATTAGGGCCCCAAATAATATATAAAGCAGTTCTCCATTCACGAATGTAGAATTAAATAGAATTCAATGGTCCATGTATTTAATTCCTGGCTGCGGGTATAACAACAGTGTGGTATAACATAACAACAAAGGATACCTTACACAATGTCCATCGGGTTGCACTGTAACTTATAAAAGACAGTAGAAGAGATATTGGCTATTTTATCTAAAATAAATACTAGTATAGGCATGAATAGAATAGCAACACTAACTGCCCCTCAAGAAATGGAGTCCACAACGAGTAGCAAACCATATTCAATATATATATCAGCTACTTATCCCCAGGGCACCGGTCACCGTAGTCATAAATTTTCTCAGCTGCAAACCCTAACCGAATTTATTCGAACTCAAACACTTTATTATCCTAAATGGAGAAATAATACCAGCAATAATTGGGAAACAGACCTAGACAAATTATTACCTTGAGAAATCGTCCAAAGAAAGGAAGTGCAATGGAGAATGCTGCCAGAGAAATACCCAAAGCCTCCGTTCTCTACGTGAAAACCAAAATATAAATATCGCAATTACTAGGAAAAAATAAATAAAGAGCACAGAACATAACCACCTTACCAGCTGGGGCGGGCTGGCGGCCGAATTAGAACCCAGAAAGTGGTTCAATAATAGAAGTGACCCGAATCCGTATCCTATCCATCTGGGTAAGTAGGATTCGTCCAATCCAGGTATACCTAAAATCCCCAACTGATTTATTATTTAACTAATTCTGCGAGCAATTAGCTGATCAGTAAAGAAAAAAAAAAAGAAAAGAAAAAGTTCTGTTTTCACCAAATGTGAAGCGAAGAATGGAAAGATTGAGTTCCTGCTGTTGATTTTCTCTCGTTTGAGAATTGTCAATCCGAGAAGCTATCACTAAGGATTTTCTGGTGACTTTGGCGCGAAACTTTGGACGGATGTTCAACTGGATTAAAGGGTGAATTGAAAGACCACTCATTTTCGTTTCCCTTCTTTGGGAATTGAGAAAAATTCAGGAGAGATAAACATGCTGCAGATTTTCATTTTTGGACTGCTTTAGACACGTCGCTCAGTAGGCCAAGCCCAAACTAAAAAGGCCCGTTTATAATATATGGGCTAAGTATGGTTCGACATAGAGTTACAAACTATGCAGCAAACTAAATATGGGACATTTGAATATGCACTCAAAATTACAATATGGTTTGTTATGCTTAAGATAGTTTGATATCGAGTTCAATTCAGACACTATTTACTGTTAATGAAAACTATATCCATTAATGGTTTTTTTTTATTTATTTTATTAGACTGGGATTTTCTTAAAAGGGCTACTAACCTAAAATATAATGTATTTAAAATATTACTTGTGTTGTCTCATCAATATAGACTCACCTTTCTTTTTTACTTGTTTTAAAATACAGTCATATTAACTTTTTTTCAAAATATAATTTATTACTTCATTTTTTAATATATTCATAATTAATATATATTTATATTGACAATTGCATATATTACAATTATTAATAAATGGATATAGTTTAATTATATTAATAAAATTTTCTTAATTTACGTGAAAATCAAATTAAATCTCTATACAATGCACGGATGGGTATATTAAATTAGACTGTGTAAATTAGAAGCCAATTTGATGGGAATTTATGTACATGCGTAAAAGTCATCTATAAAACTATGCAGACTCAAAAAGTCAAAACATACAGTTATTACCAGCTAGATACACATCTTTCCCAAAAAAAAAAAAAAAAAAAAAGAAAATCAATTAAATCTCTAAACAATGCACGGATGGGTATATTAAATTAGACTGTGGTAAATTAGAAGCCCAATTTGATGGGAGATTATGTACATGCGTAAAAGTCATCTATAAAACTATCAAGACTCAAAAAGTCAAAAACATACAGTTATTACCAGCTTAGATACACAAAAAAAAAAAAAAAAAAAAACAAAAGAGGAATAAAGTAATTTAAAAGTCAAACTCCAATTAAACCCACCTTAATTTCCTTTATCAGTTGGTGTGGTTCCCAAAGCCAAGCCCAATTATTTACTATGTGGCTATGGAAGGATGGGGTAGAATGCATTTAAAAATATAAAAATTAAGAAAATAATTAAAATTATTAATATAGCTAACGCTTTATTAAAATGCCTTTTTAATAACGATAAATTCAAATTATTATTTAATTGCTTTAAAATGAATATATTTGGAAGTAAAAAATACAATTCGACAAAATAAAAACTTATTAAAAAACAAAAAATTATGCCTTAGTAGAATAAAAAACATCCACGTATTCAAAAAAATAAACATATTATTATACTCTCTAAATTTCTAAGAAATACAGTCAATTACAAATATTTTAGTAATTGGCTGAAAAGTTTCAACTCGGTATATGTATATTTATTGAACCACTTTTCGATTTTTTTTTAATATGAATTTCTTTTTTTTTTTTATTATTTTAAGAATTTTTAGCAAACGTGAAAGTGAAGAAAACTGTAATCTCAAGAAAAAAGGGCGATTGAATCAATGAAATGATTTCCCATGGAGGTATAGTTGCCACGAATGGAAGTCTAGGAATTAATCGGACGGCTGCGATGCATTAGTCAAAATGCATAGGCTATCATTTGCATTGCATGTGGACCAAATGTATTAAATTAAAATAAACTATAATAATAATAAACGCTTATTTATTGCCATGTTCGTTTAATGGTGTTCAACAATGGTATTTTTTTTTTTAAATTATTTATTAATATTATTGAAAGGACCTCACGCACCCAAACAAAAAGAATATTTATAGAATGAAACCTTAGAGGACAAGAGAAGAGATAAATAAAGGCTTTTAGGGCACTCGGTTCCGCCACTTATTATTATTATTATTATTATTATTATTATTATTAATTATTAATTATTATTATTATTATTATTATTATTATTATTATTATTATTATTATTATTATTATTATAAACCGTTCGGATAGCATTGGTATAATGGGATTGTTAAATTCATGGTCATTTAGTAGTCCAAAACAGAATATATAGTCAATGAAATTAGTGGCTAGATTATCATCTATCAATGTCAATGTGAATGTCAATGTCAATCACTTTATTTTCATCGTATAAATTACTCTGCGTATAATAATACTTTTATTTTATAAATTCAACTTTTAATTTGTTAATGCCCGGCATTATTATTAATAATTATCTAAAGTTAATGTTTTCATTCATAAATTATTATTATCCTTTAAATATTCACACTTGACATTATTCAAAATCTCATTACTTATATTTATCTCAAACATGTTTAAAATACTATTTAAATCTCAAAACCTATTTTTGTAAATATCCGTCACAAATAATATCTTTGACTGTCCATTCTCAAGTCATGTACTCTCATTAACGGATTGGAGCATTTCGTTTTCTTCTCAAATCCTATATTCTTATTAAATGAGTTGAAATAAGTCGTTTTTTTTCCATATCTAATCATTGTATTTATTAAATAATAGAAAAAAAATTGAATCCCTCATTTAATGGAAGAAAATTTTCAGAAGGACGTAATGGTGAGAGATTAATTAATGTATTTATTACATTATAGAAAAATTATAATTACGATCTAAGTTAAGAGACTAAATAATTATTTTACCTTAATTAAAAATTTCATAAATTAATATAGCAACACTTTTGGCTACGATTTTATTTATAGCGCGTGAACACAAGCATCAATCTGAACGTATGTCTATATCCTTTAACAGTGCGGGTGAGGTGAACGTCACGCCCTGATGCTCTATACCCACATTTTCAACATGGACAATACCGCTCTATGGAACACTTGCCACGTCACTTTTAAAAAATTTTCATGCCTATAATATCCACAATTTCCTTACTGAATTACCTTAGATGTCCCCAATGTAATGAAGTGTCAAACGGTTGTTGCAGAATTCAGATATACCTCACTGTAGACGATATTTGTCCCAGGAGACCTACCGATCTATCATGAGCGACCTTCAAACAAGCCAATGATACTGTGCCACGTCATAGACGAGCTAGCTTCGCCACCGCGCGATATAACACCGACTACGTTTCTCTAAGATACGATGGACACGTGTCCATGTTTCAACGGGAACAGCCGGTGATATAGGGGCTAGTTACAAGTGCAGCCGGTCACTCCGTCTCTGCAATTCCCGCTAGGTATATAAGCGGCGTCCTCGAACCCTCTATCTCTCTTCTTCCCCTGATTTCAGTTTCCCAATTGAGAGAAAAAGTAACGTTTTTTCGCTTTATCCAGCTCGCTGTTTCGAGGTTAGTAGTTTCGCTTCATTTTAATTATTTTTGAAAATTATTTTGAGTTCCTTTTACTTTTCCTTTTAGTTTTTTCTTTTTTGGTTGGTTCAAGCGTTAAATTTTGATCTCTCTCTTTGGGCCAGAAACTCGGTGTTTCAGTTAATGGTATTCTCTATATGGATTTTCTCGGCTTGCCTACATGTTGATCTTTCAGTTTTAAGTTCAAACCCAAGTGTTGAATTAAGGTGAAGCCGTTGATTATTCTTGGTATTGTAATTTGGGAATTTGGACAGTATCGATTTCGATTTGAGTTTGGTCACACTCTGTGATTTTCAATGCGCGTGATTAACCTGAGGGCAAACTTGATTAGTTGTTAATGACATGAGTTTTGATACCATCGCTGTTAGGCCTTTAATGTACTTGAATTTGGGGTTTGTGTTATCAGCTAGTCTCGTTGTAGTGAAATGGTTTAACTAAAAATTAGGGTTTTTTTTTTTTTGAAGGGGGTGGGGGGGATGATTGAGGAATTATGCTTTTCTCATGTTTAGGGGTCATATATTGACAGATTTGATGATACTGCTTCTGTAGTTTTCTTGTTTACTTAAGAGGGAAGTTAATTTTGAAAATTTTAGTGCCTTATTTTCCTGTTGTGGCATGTTTTTCAATATAGCTAATGGTGTTATTTGCTTTGTTTATTGAACGTTGCTTAGATCCCTACAACAAATTGTTGAAAGCTCAAACAGATCACAAAATATTGCACTCCATTTGGTCCAAACAAGGGTCTCCTTAATCAGTGACACTATTTGTACAAGGAATCAGATTTTTCTTTCTCTTTGGCTGGTGAAGCAGGAATTGTGTCTATTGTGTGGAAATTTGTATTTTTATACCTTTTGGAGCTCTCTTTTCTTTTTGTTTTTCTTTTTTATCCTTTTGCTTGGTTCATTTTTAGAGACATTAAGGGGATTGAGCATATTGATAACTGAAAATACTGGTCAGGCCTGGCTCTGGAGAGCTACTTAGACTCTGGCCACCAGGGGGCAGTGCCTGCCATGGCACCTTCTCGTGTGGCTGGAGGGTTAGCCCAATCTTCCTCAAGTTCAGGAATTTTCTTCCAGGGGGATGGGCAGTCTCAGGCTGTAGTTAACTCACACTTGACTTCATCATTCGGTAACTCATCCAATTCGATTCCTGGAACTGGGCGTCCCAATCTGGGTCCGGTTTCTGGGGACATGAATACTGCGGTTTTGAACAGTGTGGCAAACTCTGGACCAAGTGTTGGGGCAAGTTCCTTGGTGACAGATGCAAATTCAGCACTTTCAGGAGGTCCACATTTGCAGCGAAGTGCGAGCATCAATACAGAGTCATACATGCGCTTGCCAGCATCTCCCATGTCTTTCTCATCCAATAATATAAGCATTTCAGGATCGTCAGTTGTTGATGGGTCCTCTGTAGTTCAGCAGGGCAATCATCAAGACCCAAGTGCACAGCAAGTCCAGCAGAACCAGCAGCAGCAACAGGGGACTTCAAGTGCTACGTCCCTGCCCACATCACAAAATGCACAAGCTTCACTTCCCATGGGGCCCCGAGCTCCTGGAACTTTCCTACAGGACCCTAATAATCTATCGCAAGTACAAAAGAAGCCGAGATTGGATATCAAACAGGAAGATATTCTGCAGCAGCAAGTTTTCCAACAACTGCTTCAGAGACCAGATGCCATGCAATTGCAGGGCCGTAGTCCGCATTTGCAAACCTTGCTTCATCAGCAGAGATTGAGGCAGGCGCAGCAGCAACAAATTTTCCAATCTATGCCGCCACTGCAAAGAGCCCATTTGCAGCAGCAGCAGCAGCAGATGCAGATGAGGCAGCAAATGCAACAACAGGCCATGCAGCCAGTCTCTGCCATTAAGCGTCCGTATGATGGAGGTATTTGCGCGCGTCGGTTGATGCAATATCTGTATCATCAGCGACAGCGGCCAGCTGTAAGTTCAGATGTTTATACACCTATTGTGATGTTCCTATACCTATGGTGTAAATACTTGTTTTGTTTCAGAGAAAGTCAAGTATTACTATTTTGATTAAGTTAAATACTTGCATATAATACTATCATTGCATAATTATTTGGGCAGGAGAATTCTACTGCTTATTGGAGGAAATTTGTGGCAGAGTACTATACACCTCGTGCAAAGAAAAGGTGGTGCTTGTCATTATATGATAATGTTGGGCATCATGCTCTTGGCGTTTTCCCTCAGGCAGCTATGGTCAGTTCTTTGTCCTGTTAAGTATATTTTTGTAATTTTTACAATATAAGATGATAATTTTTCTATATGATAATATTGAACTTTTTTACTGTTCTGGGTACTTTTTGCATAGGATTTTTTGTTCACAATGCTGCAATTTGATATATAATGAAAATTATACCTTGAGCTGCTTTAGTAATCATACCTTGGTGAAACTGTTTTTTGTTTGCAAGTAGCAGATATTCAGCATTGCATTTGTTCAAACTCACCCATTTTATTTCCTGTTTGATTTTCAGGAGGCATGGCAATGTGACATTTGTGGCTCTAAATCTGGAAGAGGATTTGGTAAGCAAACTTTTGGTGTTTGCATAGAATTCAATTTTCTGCGCCAAGACAATCACTATTAAACTGTGATTCTTGAGATTTTCAAGTTTTCAAAAAGCTTTTTACTTGACTCTGGTGGCAATTGCATTTTAAAGAGTGCAAGAATAGGTTTCTGAGTTCATAAAAGCTAAAGAAGGCTTAATATGTGCAAAAAATTCTTTTAATTTGAGTGTGCTATGGGGATAAAAATAAGAAGAAAGGATGTCAAACTTTGGCCAGTTTTTGAATTAATTTAGCATGACTTGATGGAAATATATCCAACTTGTATAAGTTTTGTGTAGCTGAATTAGTGAATGTCGTGATTAGTACGTGATAAAGGCATACTAATCGGTTGATCGTAAGTTCATAAAATCGTCCAAATGATTTTACTTTTTTCAAGCAACTTTATGTGAGTTTATCAAAGGTTTGATTTTTGTTATGTGATAAATTGGTTCCTTGAGTTTGACTCATAAAATCATATGCGTTGACTAGTGATTTAGACAACTATGCACTCAGTTGTTGAAGGAAGAATTGATCTCAAAGTTGAAAGGATCTAGAGCTATAATGGAGTTTGGCTTGTGTGTGTGTGTGTCTGTGGTTATGCTTATGCTTATGCTATGGTGTCAGCGCTTTCCTTCTGTTGATCTTACTCTTCCCATTACCTGTTTCTGTTTGTGCTTTTGGAAGAAAAAGGAAAGAATTTGGATATGCTTTGCAGAATGGATTTTTCTCTTATATCTCAAATCTTTGGATAGTCTTTATTTTGTCTGCTTGTCTTGCATCAATGATTTTTTTTCTTTTTGGTAAAAGATTGCTGTTTGTTAAATGAGAGTGTTAATGCCATTCATGAACAGGATGCCATTTATGGACAGGGAAGAAGTATCTTCTTCCATTTTCTATTTTATTATTTCTCCCAAGTGTTAGCTGAAGTACAGAGGTAGAGTGATTTAAGATAACCCAATGTTTCATGTTTTCACCAATGTTACACTTTCACCTAAAATTTTGTTCTACCAACTTTTGCATATGCTAATCCTTTTAATATCTATGCTTTTAAGCTTGTCCGGTTCCCACTTTGTTAGAGTGATGTTTTCAATATCTCATTGAGTGTATTACTATATTATAATAACTTAATGTGAAATATCTAATTTTTCTCTATCAACAATGCATCACATATTTGAAAAGTAGCAACAAGAGACAAAAATTTATGCTTTGATTACATTTTACATGCATGCGGTTTTAGTTTCATGGCTTCTTTTCAAGTTTCTTGTTCTAGAGATTTATTATGTTCAATTTTTGGGGCAATTTTCACAGAGGCCACTTTCGAAGTACTTCCTAGACTCAATGAAATCAAATTTGGCAGTGGCGTCATTGATGAGCTATTATTTTTAGACTTGCCACGTGAATGTAGATTTCCATCTGGAATAATGATGCTAGAATACGGAAAAGCAGTTCAAGAGAGTGTTTATGAGCAACTTCGTGTTGTTCGTGAGGGTCAGCTTCGTATCATATTCACGAATGACTTGAAGGTCAATAGAGATATTATTGATTTGTCTGTATCATCAGTTTTTCAATTTGTTGAACAAGTTGCTTGTCTCTGCATATCAGATTTTGTCTTGGGAATTTTGTGCACGGCGTCATGAAGAACTTCTCCCACGAAGGGTGGTCGCACCACAGGTACCATTTTGAACCTTTATTTTCATATCTCATTGTAATTGTAGTCCTCCAAATGGAAGCTTTTTTTATGTCTCTGGAGAACCAAAGCGAGAAATTATCCGGTTCTGTCATTACTAACAATGTTAGAAATACTGTCTCTTGGATAATTTTTTGAGGTACTAATATGAAAATTTGAGGTTAAACTTTGGATTGTGCGGGTTTGTAAAATTCATTTATTATGTACCAAATTTAGTTAGTATGCAATTGCATTTTCTAGTAAATTTTCTGGAGAAACAAAATATGGTTCTCTTCGACTCCATTCAGTAATGCTTTCTAGAGGAGGTGGGGAGAGCAAAAGTGGGTTTTTTTGTTGTTTGTAAATTAGATCTTAGGGTTGTGAATTTTCTGAATATCCATTTTGTTTTTGGTGAAAAATTTAAGTCTGATAAAAAGCCAAATTGAAGAGACCAACTTAACCAAAATTTTCTGTTTAGGTTTTAATTCAGTTATCATAATAATTCCATTTGGTTCAGTATTCACTTTCAAAATTTTGCAATCCAAATAAATTGAACTTATCAACTGAATGCTTGCCCCCTAATAACCGAGTGCAAAATTGGAACTCAAGCATTTTGTGATAAATATTTTTAAGCTCAATTCCCTGTGCTTTTGCAGGTGAATCAGTTGGTTCAGGTTGCTCAAAAATGTCAGAGCACTATCGCTGAAAGTGGATCCGATGGGGTTTCTTCTCAGGACTTGCAAACAAATAGCAGCATGTGAGTAAAATTGAGCAACAGCTTCATTCCCTTCCTTCTCTGCATGGGTGTCTGTTCAATTCTTTTTGGTGTAGTCCTTCTATAATGAGTATATTTCTGAAAATAGTATCTCAAAGGATTTCCAGCTAGTCAGCTAAGAGATCTGGAACAATACCTTGGAATCTCTCTTCGTTTTTTGCCAGGCTGGATGCTTATGCTGGTATAAGTATGTTTAACTGTTAATACTAATCCAATGTTTTTGAAGGGTATTGACTGCTGGACGGCAACTTGCCAAGACTTTAGAGTTACAGTCTCTAAATGATTTGGGATTTTCCAAAAGATATGTTAGGTGTTTGCAGGTATAATTTGAGCTGTTCCTGGATTTGGATTTTAGTATAGAACTAAGTTTCTGTTATGTTATTTATTATTCTTTTAAGTTTTCGCTCCAATTTGTTATAGATTTCTGAGGTCGTCAACAGCATGAAGGATCTGATTGATTTCTGCCGAGAAAACAAAGTTGGGCCAATAGGTAATTCCTAATGGTTGGTGTGACATAGTTACATATTACATGCTAGCTGTTGGCCGTATGATGGTGGATTATGGTATTCTTTTTATCAGTCCTATGTTATGGGTTCTCATTTTGGAGCAGCGAAATTCTGGACAAAATCTTTTGTAACGAGAGGTCAAGTTGCATATATGCATTACTGCCAAAGTAAATATGTGCAAATTTGAGTACGGTTACTTTGCTGAAAGTTCAAACTAAGTCAGTCTTATAAAGTTCAAATTGGACAGTAATGTTAAGTTCATTAGCTCCAGCTAAATCATTATTTCTTTTGAGAAATCATTACTTTTTATGAGCACTATGATGTAATAAGGATAATTTGGGGCAATTTTTCTAAGATTGTAGCTGCTGCTTGCTTGTTTTACTTTATGTGATACCTTTCCTGGTAGTTTGTGTGTGGAGATCTAATAGGATGTAGACATCCAAATAGATTTACTTTATGATGCTGCCCACTGAATGAAGCAACTTCAATTTTTGTTTTGGTTTTTGGTAAATCTTCTCTAATGTGACTCAGTACTGTGGAACCAAATTGCTCTTCCTTGTTTTCATTTATTGTTGGCAAATTTGTAATTGATCTGTGTGATCTGTAATTGCTATCTTGTGTCCGTTGCCTGGTTAATGCTGCAACTAGTGACATGATTTTGACCTTACATGCACGGAGATCTCATTCCAACCCTTGTGTGCAGAGGGCTTGAAAAATTATCCTCGGCAAAGCACAGCGGCCAAGCTCCAGATGCAAAAGATGCAGGAGATGGAGCAGCTAGCCAATGTTCAGGGCCTGCCAACTGACCGGAACACTCTTAATAAGTTGATGGCATTACACCCTGGCATAAACAACCAGATGAATAACAATCACATGGTTAGTCGAGGGGCTTTAAGTGGTCCAGCACAGGCTGCGTTGGCACTGACTAACTACCAGAATCTGCTCATGAGGCAAAACTCAATGAATTCAAACTCCAGCTCTCTCCAACAAGAGCCTGCATCGTCTTTTAATAATGCTAGTCAGAGCCCATCTTCAAACTTCCAAGGACCTGCTGCTTTTGTACAAGGATCCATGCAAAACTTACCCACAAGTGGCTTTTCAAGTCCGCAAATACCTCCACAACAGCCACAGCAGCTGCAGCAACGAATGGTGAGTGCTAATAGCTTACTGCAGCAAAACCATCCACAGGCCTCTCAAGGCAACCAGGCATTGCAACAGCAGATGATCCAGCAACTGCTGCAGGAGATGTCTAATAATAGTGGAGGAGTGCAACAACATTCTCTTGCCGGACAGAATGGGAATGGAAATATGGGAAGGAATGGAATGGGTTTTGGAAGCAACCCTTCGGCAGCACCTGCTGCCCCTGCTCCTGTATCAGGAAGTGTTGCAGGAACTGCACCGAGCAGAAGCAACAGTTTCAAAGCTGCTTCAAACAGCGACTCTTCTACAGCTGGTGGCAACGGCGGTTTTAACCATAAAGGGCCAGATTTGCATCAGAATCTCCATTTGCAGGACGATATTGTTCCAGATATTGCACACGAGTTCACTGAAAATGGCTTTTTTAACAGTGACCTTGACGATAACATTGGTTATGGTTGGAAGGCATGACTAACATGGTATGGCCTAGTCATTCCCTGTCATTGAGTGAATGTTTGGCCATAGATATTTGTACAGAGTATTAAATAGCTGCTTTGCCCCACCCTCTCCTTGCTTTTCTAATTTTCGAATTTGTTGTGACATCATGGTGGCACTTGTATTTCTATAGGCTAAAGTTAGCTTTTTTTCTCTCTCTCTCTCTCTCTCTCTCTCTCTCTGTTTTTGTTTCTTTCTTCTCACCTCTTCTCTGAGAGTTTCTGTCAAGTCTTGCAAGTGTAATCTATTGGAGACTAAAACTTGGACAGTTAATATGATATTTTACCGAGTTTTGCAATGTGGTATTTTTCTGTGGTGGACTCCATATGGTTTAAGTTCTGCTTCGTTCATTACCTGCTGCTCGAGCGACATTCGATCTTTGATTTTTAACGCCAGTCAAGTGAATCGCATTTTTTTTTTTATTCTTGTAAACCGTGCGACTGAGTTTCAATGTTAGAAATTTAGTGACATCTTAATTAAAGTAACGAGTTAAGTGTGTGAACCTGACCTTTTTCTTTTTTTTTTTCTTTTTTTTTTTTTTTGATTTTCTCTGTGGTGGGAAACTCATCATGGGTTTAAAGTTCTGCCTCTCGTTCATCTACCTGCCTGCTCGGCGACCATTCCGATCTTTGGATTTTTTTTAACGCCAGTTCCAAGTGACACTCGTCATTTTTCTTTTTTTTATTCTTTAAAACCGTGCGACTGAGTCTCAATGTTAGACATCTTAGTGGACATCTTAATTAAAAGTAACGAGTTAACGTGTGTGAACCTTGACCTTTTCTTTTTTTTTTTTCTTTTTTTTTTTTTTTTGGAACTTTTGAACTTTTTAAGCCTATATTAATTAACTAACTTAAGAATACTTTTATTAAAATTTTTTTTTTTCTTTTTTTTTTTTTTTGAACTTTTGAATTTTTAAGCCTATATTAATTACTAATTAAGATATTTTATTAAACTATGTAGTTTTAGAATGGAATATGAGATCTTTTAATATTGAATTTAGAAACATTTTACTCAAATTTAATAATTTATTATTAAATTAAAATATATAATTAAAAGATAAAAATATAGATGGGAATATGAAAATTTCTATTATGTTCTCATTTCATACTTCATATATGAATATTTTAAAAATACATTCTATTATAAACTTCATATTTCAAAATTTCATTTCAAATTGAAATTTGAATCTGAATTGATATATATTTCAAAGTGCAAACTAATTTACACTCCTAATAATCTTTTATCTCTCTGTTATATAAGAAAAGTAGCATCATCTTCCTCCCCCTACTGGTCAAAATTTTTTAAGTTGTGTTATGATTTGCCTGAAATAAGACATTTAAGAGTATGGGTGCTGGCCTCCAATCAAATATTATTGACAACATTAATTTCGACTGAAATTAATTGATTTTTCATGTCCACCGCCTCATTCAACTTTCATCACACGGTTCAAATTCATTCCTGTAAGCCACAACTTTATCAAGTTGGGAAAATGTATCACTTATTATGGTATGATCTGATCAACTTGGTCAAAACAGGACCATGTTTTGCATTCAATGTCGGTCATTTAAAATTCGATCTCAATTGTTTAATCTTACTTCTCCATATGGTATGATATGATGCTGTAAATTAGAATTTAGAAGACAAATTATAAATCGTCCAAAAGCTTTTCATCAACTGCCCCATTCCCTAGCAGTGTTGTGTTCAAACTCATACTTTCCCATCCCAGTGTACCAGCCAATGAGCGTAAGCGATAACTTGTACCTGTCTCTCCTCCAGACGACAAACAGTGTTCTCTTTGAGACCAATACTTCAAGGTGCACTTTCCTGTGTGATCAAGCATTTCTACATCAAATGCATTTGAAAGTGGTCGTCCCACAGCTTGAACGTGGGCGATGCTGCATCATCAAAATAAATTCAAAGCTTTTATCAGCATCATCAAAGTACGCTGTTATCAAAACAACCTATTTGTCAGGTCTTGTTTCTGCATCAGAAAATGACAAGATACGAAAGCACAAGCAATCATGATCTAAACTTGGAATGGTTGAATATGGATTTCAGTTACAAGACATAAATTAGCCTTCAACTTGTACACTAGTACTTCAGGAACTGAAGGTTCACTTTGCTCTATACTTGACCAGTATGAAGCTTGATGTCCAAATTCTATCTTTTGGTTCCAAAGTGTTGACAATGGGTTCTTCCCGGTAATCATCAGTGCTGGATGAACAACACTAGACATTTCAGGTAACAATTTCAAGCACATCTGCTTACCGAGACCGCTAACAATCACTGCAGAACATAACAAATTCTATATCACCAGGATTCAGAAGCAAGCCCGTAAAACAAGAAAAAAAACATTTTAAAGCCGGTCAAGCTTGTGATGAAAAAATATAACTAAAACACCTTACATATAATTGAAGTTTCCATGGGAAAATAACCATATTGGACATCGTCAATTTCCCAACTGAGCTATCGTACCGATAATCAAAAAGCCAAAAAGATTAAATGCAGGCATAACAAAGTGGCGCCAAGAGACGGAAACAGAACAAGCACGGGCAAGATCAGAAGGGTCGTCCAAATGCAAGAAGACCTTGGTGGACGTATCAGTTCCAAGTCATTGTATAAAATCAGCACGACTTTCCATAGAGGACATGTTTGGCAAAGATCAGTTGAGTTGAGTAAATCATACACTTTTATGAAATGAAATTTGACAAAACAAAGCAATCCCAACAAGCAGAAACATAATCTAGTCATATTAAAATTTGATATCTAAAAAAAAAAATAAAAAAAAAAAAAAGCAGAAACATAATCTAAGTCATATTTAAAATTTGATATCTAAAAAAAAAATAAAAAAAAAAAAGAAAAAGGCGATATTAAACAAAATGTTTCTGCGTACCCTTTACACTACACAACTCTCGAAACTTTTTTTAAATTTATTTGATATAAATTTGCAAAGTTTGCGTTACTTCTTATTCTTAACTCAATCTATCTCACTCATGTTTATTTTCTGAAAACAAAAAAAAACAAAAAAAAGTGCGGTTAGGGTTTGAAAAAGGCCCGAAGTTTTCTTTCACCATCATCGATAAGGCACGCCGACCCGGGCCCTGCCATGGCAAAAAAAAAAAAAAAAAAAAAAGTGGGTTAGGGTTTGAAAAAGGCCGAAGTTCTTTCACCATCAATCGATAAGCACGCCGACCGGGCCCTGCCATGGCCCATGACATAGATGAGATCAACTACTCAATTAATAGTCCTAACCATTTTCCCCCTTCAATAATAAAAAAATAATTTCACTAATTTGTGTTTCACCTTCAATAAATGGAAAAATAAAAATATCAATTGCAAACCAATTACATGGTTGTGTTGTACAAACTCATTGAGAAAAATCACAATCTTCACTATAGACTTCCAATACAAATTACAATAATTTAAATCTTAATCTCATACTATAGATTCTTATTTCTATTGAGCCTATTTACTTCTGTTTTTTGGCTTCAAGGACAAATATTTTTGTGGACTAAAAAAAAACCCACTTTAATATTTCCTGTTACAGCTATATTTATAAGAGAAGGAACACTATCTAAAAAATATTTAAATTTGGTTTAACTTGTGTTTAAACTCACCGGGGCATATTAACACAGAATCAAGGCATACGCCGCCTTTCGTATGTGTACAATCAATTTGCGTCATGGAGAACTTTAGCTGAATTGGTGTATTGGGATTTTCCACAGTAAATTCACCAACATTGTAATAAACCCAGTTTCCTTGTTCATGTAGATAATATTCTGATGAATCACGCTGACCGTTGGATGTTGACAGCTGAAATTGAACCGGTTTTATATTCCAACCATGAACTTGATCCGTATTACATACTCTTCTTCCAAATCTTTTATTTGAAGTTTTACCTAATTGGAGTCTGAATAATAAATTATATGTATCTGCTGGAAATTCAAACTCTATTTCACCCACAACTTCGAACCACCAGATTTGTTGGAGATATGCAATTGTTTGAAACCTACACGTCGAAACAATTCGATTTGGTCATTCTTTAACCAATTAATTTCCTTTTCTTTCATCTTAATTTGGACAACCCTACTTTTTGTGTGTTTGGTAACAGTCTTTCTGATTCTTGAAATCAATTCCATCAAAATTAATATCCAGTAATGTCAAGTCAAACAAGTGGACAACTGATAATGAGATTATGAACCAAAAATCTCATTGATATAAATTGTTTCTCCAATAAAAAAAATGGAGGTCGCTTTCTTTTGCTATCTACCTACTGGTTGTATCTAAATATCTAACTAGACAAGAAACAGAAACACCACAACCACTACTGCCCCTTTTATTTTTATTTTTATTTTTAATTCTAAAGAAAGCAAAACCCCTTACCTGGATTCTTCAGACGAAATATGATTCCAGTATCTCCGATCATCTATTCCGGTAATTCTCAATGCTTTGTATGAAATCGACAGACAAATCTTGCCGCTATTTTTATCCAGCCAAACTTGCTGTAAAATAATTTCTTTAACTCATTATAATTCTCTCTCTCTATATATATATAAGATTTGAAAAAGAAGAAGAAGAAAAAGAAGTATCATATAGATATATTATACCTTGGTGCCACCATCAAAGCAATTAGGTTGACACAATCTGGCATAAATTTGTTTCTTGGCCAAACTCACAAGACTTTCTTGTAAAACTTGATTAACAAGAAACTTGTAATTTGAAGGCAACTTTGTTTCCCAAACCAAGTCAGCTGAAGAAGCACCATGAAAGGTCCGGTTCAACCCGGCCAGTTTACAAATCTCCGGTGGATCCAAATACATCAGAATTGAAGAGACACAACTTTCCGGCACATCTCCTAAACTAGGTCCATTATTCTCCGAAGCAAGACCAGACAAACCAGAACCCATAAAGCAACTAAAAAGAATAGATGAGAGAGATAGCAACAAATCAATAGTATAGCACAGAGGAAATGAAAGATTGATGAAGAAAGAACTTAAAGATAGAAGAGGAGATGATAAATGAAGCTATGAGAAAGTGGAGGAGAAAATGAGGAAGGTATCAACATTTTCTTCATGAAAGAAAACTAGAGAAAGAATTGAAGAGGCTGTGGAGGGGTTTCAATTAAGAGAGAGGGATAAAGTGCAATTTCTAGAATGTTTGTTTTTCAGAGGAAAATATTGAATAATGGGAGGAGTTGTAAAGGGACGTGTGTGTGTATGTCTATGAGTGGGATTGGAATAATATTTTTTTTTGTGGGAATACACCGCCCAACATATACACTTATATAAGAAACGAATATTATTATTAATATTAGAGAATAATGCTCTCTTTAAAACATTATTTACATATTAATTAATCAACAAATATGAAAAACTACACGTTATTATTTTTGAAATTTTGGTTCTTCAAGTTTAGAGTTTTTCGGATAAACTAATAATTAATATTACGATTAGAAATGGAATCTACTTTTCCTATAGGAAAGGCATTCCCTTTCTCTCTTAAAAAAAGAAAGACATTCCCTTTCAAGAAGTCATAAAGAGCTGCCAACATAAAAAATGAATAAATAAACCCCGTTTTGAATTTTTGATCAAACACCGTAAATTAATTTAGTTTTGATGTGGCTGAACATGGTTTGTCTGTTTTAATGTGGTTTTATTAACTTAGCATTTGCCATTTAGCTTTATTCTCTTTGATTTGAATGTAATTAAAATGTTTTTTTTTTTTTTAAATACACAACAAGTTCCACGTTTCGCAGTTTAATCATTGATTGTCTTTGCTGCCAACGCAAGTCATAAATGCTTTGCATGACTCTGGTCTCTAGAGTCTAGAAAACTACCATTTCACGTGGGATTAGGGATTAATTAAGCTTAACAATTTGACTTATGTATGTGTATTTAATGGTTAATTTCCGAATATCGGATTATAATAAGACTCATATTCTGTTTTATATGTAGATATAATGCAGAATTTTTTGTATTTTCTTTCCCTTCAAAATATATATATTGTTAGAAGTTTAGAGCACGTGTGTCGTTTTGATCCGATGAATAATTGTAATTGTAATATTTTAGTATTTATTTTCCATATATTAGAAGATTTAAAAGGCCGAAAGAATATTACAGATTACATAATACTTACTAAATTAACGAGTGAAAGCTCTTATGATTAAAAAATATTAAATAATTTTTTCTATACAAATAAAAAAAAATCAATCAAACTACACATGATTAACATAATATCTTAACATTTTATTATTTTATACATTACATAATTATGATTAACATATAATGAAATGGGATTGATTTATTTGATACATTTCGATCAAGAATTAACCACTAACTATCACTTGATCAAATTAGAAAAAGACAACAAAAAGTGATGACGACGATGATTAAGCAAGAACGAAAAATAAAAATTAAAACTAATTTAACTATCCAAAAGTGCATAATTAAGAAAAGGAAATAGTTACTGGCTGGCCCCAACCCATATGTTGAGAGGGGCCGTGGCTCTTCCTTTTGATGAGAGCCAACAATAGGTAATAGTCAGTGGATATGAACAAATACACAAAGGACCAAAAGAAATTATTACACTACAAAGATTAAGTATTAATCCATTAATTAACTATCAACAAGGAGTTTAAATTTCCCTTTAACATGTTGAAGCAAATAATTCTGTCCACTAATTCACATGACTTCTGTTTGGCATCACATCCTGGAACTCTGACCTAGACGTGGAGCTGAGTCAGCACAAAGTACTAGCCATACATAGGATTCATTTCATACACATCTACAACACGCGTGGACTTGATAGATGGATCATGGATGCATTACAATGGATCTGGAACACGTGCGAATGACTTATGAATTTGTGGTGCTTGTGCAATTTTCCATTTAGAGGTGAGACAACCTGTAATGGACTTAAGATTAAGAGACTCTATTTGAACTAAAATTGGGAATGATGGCACCATAGGCCATTTATTTTATTAGTCCCGTAGACTTTAGTGTAGGGATTTTAAATCCCAGGAAACTTCCTCCTATTAGTTAGAGAGTAATATGGATGTTTCTAAAAATACGTATAAAATTCGGGAGGAAAAGATAAATTTTGAAAACGTTGGGGCCAAATATGAATATTTTAAATATAAGAAAACTATGTTGGGGGATTGATATTTGCTTCAAGTTGGATTTATTTTGTAACCAAACCATTTTAAGAAACAGAGAGCAAATGGGGAAAGTGATTAAATATAAAAACCCATATTGAAAAAAGGAAATTCCCACAAACAAGCAGAGCATTGATTTTACAGTGTGAAGGCGAAGTTTGTTGGGATTTTGATAATTTGTAATGATTCTTAGGGTAGTTGGTATACTTACATATATCTGATTCCGTTCAAATTCCAAATATCTTTGATGGGTCCTATAAAAAGAACAGCTTTCAAACCGGATGGCCAATTGGTCTGCAAAGTAGCTTTTATTTGTTGATGCATCGTATTCTGTTCGGCTGACCACGAAAAATAATTGATTAAATATGAGGCACATGCTTGTACATTGTATGCTATCATATCTTTGATATCCTAGATTTTTTTCACAAATTTTATTCTCGTAATATTCACGTTTCGAGACATTTTGCTGAGAAGGGGCTTGAATGGGAAACAGTAGAAACCATGGCCCAGCAGGAGCTCTGAACGTTGCTCATCGTGCCCACACAGAAAGCTCTATGTCACTCAGCGTGACTAATTTTCGCTCGTAAATAAAATCTCATCTTCATTAATGATCAACTAATGTTAAGAAATCTTTTAGATTTAATAAAAGATTTGAAATCTAATCCCCAACTCAAAGACATAAATTTAACCTAGGAGAGATGTTCAAACAACAAGATGAGTTCAGAATCGAGCACAATAAAACACAGTAGCCGATCATCTTGTTCCAGGGACACACCAATTGTTGCATAGATTACATATTTGGAAGCATCATCTGGTAATGATTAACTGATAATCCAGTGTTTCAAGGGAGTGACTTAGAGTTAACAGTGACATCATACTGCCGGCAACGATCAAATGCCAGTTGATCAATCACCTCCCACTTGCCTCTTCCATGAGTCTTCCACAATCAGTTCATCCACTCCCCAGTCTTCGTAACTAGATTATTCCAAAGCCCCAGGTGCGTAAAAAATGAGAAGAAACAACAAATAAGAGAAAATTTGAAGGTGGTAAAATCAACATGTACTCACATTCTACCAAGCATAAGTTCAATTTTATAAAAATTAAAAGATGAATAAATTTTAAAAACTAATAGTCTCACCTTTGATCAGGGAGGTAGCGACGGATGGTGAAAGGTATTTTCCGCTCTCTGAGTTCCTTCATAGCAATCTAGACAAAATGAAGAAAAGCCAAATGCATAAGTGTTACGGAAGAAAAAACGTGTAAATTACTATGAGAAGTAGGTTCTGGCAGCTCGCAAACAAGACTCATTTTGTGCAAAATTGAAGATTAATGCATTCTTCAACCAATAACACTGATGCGAGAAAACAACCCAGAAAATTATGGATCACATGTATATGGAATTCTGCTTCTATTTAATAAATTTAACTTCAAAAGTTTAAAAAGAAAAATTGCTAAAACAAGGGGAAAGATCCAAGAATGAGAAAACGACATAACTAGCAGACTCATTTGCAAAAAGTGCTCAATATGCCATTACAATGAAATACTGATATCACAGTTTGTTGCATATACATTTTTCAAATATGACATGACGTAGCATTGACAAATAAAACGGTATAAATTACTCAATCTCATCAGTACAAGAAATCTTCAGGCATTTCATCAAAAAAATAAGTATATACTTCTACCACCCAAGCATATACTATCTAGTTCCCTTCCTGATTATATCTTGCATTGGGTAGCAAATAGTAACAAGTAGTGCAATGTAGAACACAAGTAACAAAGTTAATATAGATGCTTCAATGAAGGCGGGATGAAACATGTAGTGTGAACATTCTAAAAATTGTGAACAAATATAGCAAAAGCAGTTTTTTGTGCAGCAAACTACTGGCTGTCTGCAGCAATTTGGCATCTATAAAAGCAATTGCCCATTAACACAACATAAATCTCAATAATATTACCTCAAGTGGGTCTGTCTCGCCCTCCAACTCAACCATCACAGGAGCATTCATGCTGCAAAGTTAAAGGGTTGGTGCATATGGTTATCAACTGAACTTGATCAACATAATTTTACAATTTTCCAGGGGGGGAAAAGGAAACCTGATCTGCAGAGCACGAGTTCCCAAAATTCTGGCACGCTCGTACTTTGTCATATATTTTGAAGTTTTACGAGGACGCTCCACAGGTTCCTGATCTTCTTTATCCTCAGTTTCAATGGGTTCTCCAGGAGCATCCTCATTGTTATTATTCTCAACATCCTCCTCAATGCCTTCCTGTTCAATCATCCCACAGGTTTAAGATAATATGAAAGCTTCACCTACATTATAGGAATCAACTACACGAAATGCATACTTACCTCTATCTCAGGCTCCGGCTCATCTTCATATCTGCAGTAATAATGTAGGAAATCTTAGAAAGGTTATGAAGCATTATACAAACACAGTATATAATTGGGGCAAAAACATGTCAGTGGTTTGCATGATCTTAGTCCCACAAGAAGACTGATTATAAGTTAACATACCGCACAAACAATAGTATACCTCAAATTGCATTCCTGATATTTGTAGTACTACAAACATATGACATGCAGAGGCAATTGACATGGCTCAAAAATAGTCAAAGCGCAACCATAAAAATAAAAAATAAAAAAATAAAAAGTTTAATTAGGCCAAAACTAGATGAATACTGCACTAAAATGCAAAACTTAAACTGCTTATGGATTAATGCTTACATGTTTAAAAAAAAAAAAACTTCAAAGAAACTAGGAAAAAATCTAGTAAAATTTCGATAAACTTCCAGTTTAATTCATACAAGTAGGGAAAGTTGAACGAAGTTTCAAATTCCCTATGTTTTTATTTTGATTTCGAAACAAACCATAGGGTTAAGTCGAAAATATTTTAGTTATCATTTTCTTGAGAACCAAAAAACTAAATTTTCAATTGCTTTGTTCCATTCCAGCAAATTAATTTTCTCAATAATCAATAAATAGCATATTAGATTACCGAAAACTATAAAACAAAACCCTAACCACGTTTCTGTTATGAAGCGTGTGTGTCTGTGACAGAGAGAGAGAGAGAGAGAGAGAGAGAGAACGGACCCCGGCAATTCATCCATGTAGTCGTCGTCCGCCATGGCTGATCGTTGAAGACGAAGAGCCCCTTTTTCTTTACTAGCTCGGTGCCAAAGCCCTAACTAGGACACTAAAGCAGTTCAAAATACCCCTTGACCTCCTATAAAGTTCTCTGCCCAATACCACCGACCTCGCGCTATTTCTTGTATTTTTCGGATGGAAATTAAAAATTAAACCAAAAAAAAAAAAAAAAACCCTTTAAGGAAAGAAGTCTAAGACCTTTCTGTCGTTCTAACATGTTCTGTCGTTTACCAAACTAGAATCAACGGCTTTATATAAACCATAATACCTCCTAAGAAAAAAAAAACAGGTTCAAAAAAGCATCTACATCAATAACAATTTGAAGGTTTAAAATTAGGCCCATTTATGCCTTATTTGCAAGCCTTTGTCCCCTTACCCCAACCAGACCCATTAAGGTTATTAAATACCAATTTTGTAGGAATTTATAATTTATAATTCAAATTTCTTTAGTATATAAAATCCTTATTTTCTCGTACTAATGTTTTTTTTTGGAAAATACGTATCAAATTGAGGTTTATAATATATTAGTTTTATTGATTTTTCTTTTGAACAATCAATATTAAAATTTTATTACTCAAGTATCAATTAATACAAATAGCTAATGGAAAATAGGATCTCTCCTTAAAAAATATATTATAACTAAGAAAGTACAATAAAATCCGTTGATCTTAAATAAACTAGGTTACACGTAAAATATGAGATTTATGTAAAAGTAAAATGATGTATAGATATTCCTAAAAAAAATTATGTATAGATGTATTTTCCAAATAAATCAAGATGAAAATGCCTATGTATAATGTTATAGCATGAAAATTTAATATTATTGCATATCACTATTTCCTTGGATTAGTGTAAAAATGAGACATAATCTATTTAAGATTTTGTCAATTGAAATTGTTGTAACCATGTGGTTAATTTATTTTTAAACATAGCAATTAGCATAGATTTTGGGCCCAAAAGCACAACAATTGCAATACTGGCAATTGGAATTTATTTAATATTTATTATACAAGTGATATTTAAATAAATAAAAATTAAACAGAACAATTCTTTCTTCATAATTGATTATCTTTCCAATTTTGTTTTTTCAAAAAAAAAAAAAAGAAAAAAAGAAAAAAACAACGCAGATCTCTTCATCTCGATGCCCTTCACCACTAATGCTTTAATTAATAGGAATACATGCACGCGTAATCGTTGCCGTAACGACATTGGGTTACTCGCTCCTGGTCAATAACAATGTCTAGATAGTAGATACGGTGAGCATTCAGTTAACCGAACCAGATCCAATTGTTTTTGCTCAATTTGAGTGAATAGATTTTATGATGGTTCGGATTAGATTATTTGTATAAATTAAGTTTTTTTAATATATTTTATTATAATAAAATAAATTAATTTCTTTGATTGAAAAAAAAATTATGATGAACGAACTCGGACCAAAATGTGTGACAATTAATTCAGTACCAAATCGAATCAGATCTATTTGGATTTAGCTTGATTATTTAAAATTGAATAATTTATTAATTCAGTTAGCTATGCAAGTGACTCACTCGAAAATAAAAAATTATTTGGTTATCGCCATTCAAATCAGATTTTTAGAAAACTGATTGAATCAAATCAGAATGAATCGATTCGATTATTTAACCGGATCAAATGCCGTTCAACCTAATAAATACTAATTACCCTGTTACTAGCTTCATAAGATGTATAAATTTGTAAATCTATTACTGTCAATATTTGACAAAAATACTTGGACTTGTAGGCAAGACTCCACTTTCTAGTGGAACAGTAGTGCTTCCTTTGATTTTGCATATCTTTTCTTTTTTATTATAGCACCGTGTTCAAGAGAATTTGCATTGCAAAGAATCAAATACGTTACTTAAGTTATAATAATCGATTTACAAGTATTTTTTGACACTGAATTATTCCATTTGAATTATTATGAACAGTAAATTTAATAAAAATATATTAGGAAAAAATAATTTAATGTTGTGCGGAATGATAAAATGACAGATGTTTTAGGTTAAAAAGGACAGATATTAAAGAATTAAGGGAATATTTGGTTTTACAGCTAATTAATTAAAATTTTTCTGACAAAGGAACTAACTACCCAGAAATTAACCAGAAAAGGAGAATGAATTCAAATTTCAAATCCTAACGTTTTCACTTCCCAAGAAACGAAATCTGTGGTCAACTCATCTGTACCGACTTCTGGATGGTAGCTAGCCAAGTCGGCGCACCCAAAAAAATTAGTACTGGTGTGGTGTTATTTTAATTTAAGTAAACTACTCAACTGGAGCACCACTATTTGATACTTCAAATCTTCCCGTCCCGTCCTGGCCTGGCCTTTCTTATTCTTGTTTCTCTCAGGCAGCAGGTCAAATATGTATTTATAAAATCTCTTTCCATTTTTAAATAAAACCTCTGTGTATTTAAAATTATAGTAACTATTCTAACAAAAATTAAAAATATAAAATGCAACTTCCTTGGGCTCCTACTTCACATGATCAACTTGATACATAACCTATTTCCCTTCAACTCTCTCTCCGTCTCTTCCAAATCCCAAACCACAATTAATACAAACACTTATATATATACAAAGGATATGGTGTATATATATAGCAGATACCCAAAAAAAGAAAACAACAAGTAGGTATAGGCAATCTCTAACTATGGCTGGTCCTAAACCAGAAGAATACCATCCCACCTCTAAGCCCTCCAAAGGCCTCACCACCATCTACACCTTCAAAAAGAAAGACCTTTTTCCATTAACTCTTATTCTCTTTCTCTGCCTCTTCTCTTATCTCTTTGGTCTCTGGCAACAAACTGGAAGTTTTACCCTCAAAACCACAACAGCCACTGCCACCACCAATTCGATCGTTCAAATCCCATGTAACCCTACCAAAACCAACCCCACCGCCGATGCACAACATGACGAATCACTTGATTTTGGGGCCCATCACATGGCAGATGATGACGGAGCGGCAACATCACCAGTCAAAGTCTACCCTCCATGCAACGTCAATTTCAGTGAATACACTCCGTGTGAGGACGCGCGTCGATCGCTCAGATTCAGTAGGCGACAACTGATATACAGAGAAAGGCATTGTCCAGAGAAAGATGAGAGGATAAAATGTCGGGTTCCGGCTCCCTATGGGTACAAAAATCCGTTTGCATGGCCAAAGAGCAGGGACTTGGCCTGGTATGCGAATGTGCCTCACAAACACCTTACGGTAGAGAAGGCAGTACAGAATTGGATCAGATATGAAGGTGATCGCTTCAGGTTTCCCGGAGGAGGGACTATGTTTCCGAATGGTGCAGACGCGTATATAGATGATATTGGGAAATTAATCAATCTCAATGATGGTTCCATCAGGACTGCCATTGATACTGGTTGTGGGGTAAGCTTCGTGGATCATTTCTCTTCTTAATTAGGAATTAATCCCCCTTTTTTTTTTTTTTTTTGAAATGGTGCACGACAGTCGTATGTGATATTGGGAAATTAAATCATCTCAATGATGGTTCAAGTCAGGACTGCCAATTGATACTGGTTGTGGGTAAGCTTCGTGGATCATTTCTCTTCTTAAATTAGGAATGTAGTCCCTTTTTTTTTTTTTTTTGCTCTTGACTAAAAATATTCTGGTTTGTTCGGTTGGAAATGAAGTAAATGATGTTGTGTTTTTTTTTATTTTTTTTGAGAATATATCAAAAAATAAAGTGTTAAGGAATATGTTAACATTAGATTTTTTGCCAGGGCATTCTTGAATTGGGAATTATGGAAATCTTTATTTTGTTTTTTTTTTTTTTTTTTTTGAGAATATACAAAAAATAAGTGTTAATAATATTTAACATTAGATTTTTTTGCCAGGCATTCATTGAGGGAAATTATGGAAAATCTTTATTCAAGGCAAAGAGTTAATTAACGATTTTTTTATTTGGTAGGTATAGATTTTGTTAACAATATTTTTGCTAAATTTGATTCTTAGAGGTCCATTTCAATTATTTATTTTATAATATTCATAAAAAAATCACTTCCACAAAAATAAAAATTTTTATTAACATTTGTGACTAATGATATTCGATTTTTTTGAAACAAATAACATGCATGTATATATATATTGCTTAATTTGTTATTATCTCAACTAAACCAAAGCAACTAAAGAAACATCCTATTTACAATGTATGTAGTCTTTTCTTTTTAAATATGCAAATTACATGGGTAAAACTTTTTTCTTCTTAAATTTACTGATTAAATTATTAAAATGACTTTTTACCTTCTAATTATTTTTTATCTTCTTGACTTGCGGGTTTTGTTGTGATAACCCCTCTCTATATTTTAATGGTAGTAAGACTTTGAGCGCCAGCTACTATTAGTATTCCCAGAAAGTCTTGGCATTAGTAGAAGTTATATGATAATAGTAATTTATCGAAAGTCGAAATCTATGCAGGTTGCAAGTTGGGGGGCGTATCTTCTGTCGCGTAACATACTAACCATGTCGTTTGCACCACGAGACACTCATGAAGCCCAAGTTCAATTTGCATTAGAAAGAGGTGTTCCTGCTTTAATTGGAGTTCTAGCCTCAAAAAGGCTTCCATACCCCTCCAGAGCTTTCGACATGGCTCATTGCTCTCGCTGCCTTATTCCATGGGCTGAGCTTGGTATGTATTAGATAATTACATATATATCCCTTGCCCTTGACAAAATTAATTAATTATTATTTTTTTAATGGAACAGGAGGAATTTATCTGATGGAAGTTGATCGAGTTCTGAGACCTGGTGGGTATTGGATTCTTTCTGGCCCTCCTATTCACTGGAAGAAATACTGGAAAGGATGGGACAGAACGAAAGAGGACTTGAATGCTGAACAGACTAAAATTGAAAATGTAGCTAAGAGCTTATGCTGGAAAAAATTTATAGAGAAAGATGACATTGCTATTTGGCAAAAACCATTTAATCACTTGAATTGTAAAGCTAACAGGAAAATTACACCAAATACTCCAACTTTCTGCCCAGTCGATCAGGATCCTGATAAAGCCTGGTACGACTTAATTTCTATCTGTTTTCCACTTGCATTAATAATATTTTTGGCCTAATTAGTTTCTTTCAGGTACACAAAAATGGAGGCTTGTTTGACTAATTTGCCAGAGGTATCAAATAGTCAAGAAGTTGCAGGTGGAAAATTGAGAAAGTGGCCTGAGAGATTAAATGCTATTCCACCAAGAATTAGTACAGGAAATGTTGAAGGAGTGACACCAGAAATTTTTGAGAATGAGATACAGCTATGGAATAAAAGGATGGAATACTATAAAGCTGTAAATAACCAATTAGCGCAAGCTGGAAGGTACCGTAACCTTTTGGACATGAATGCTTATTTAGGTGGATTTGCTGCTGCTCTAATCGATGACCCTGTTTGGGTAATGAATGTGGTTCCTGTGCAAGCTAAAGTTAATACTCTTGGAATAATTTACGATCGAGGATTGATCGGAACATATCAAGATTGGTAAATAATATCACACTAATGTTCTTTATCTTATCTGATTTGACTTAAAGATTTAAAGAAGCTACTCGAGGTGAGTGCCTATTTTTCATTTTTTTTTTTTTTTTTTTTTTTGATTAAAGAAGCTACTCGAGTGAGTGTCCTTATTTTTCATTTTTTTTTTTTTTTTTTTTTTGATTGCAGGGTGAAGCTATGGCTACTTTCCTAGATACTTAGATCTGATTTCATGCTAATTCTTTTTTGCCTGTATCAGGGAGGTAACTAAGCATCTCATATTTGATTTATAATTTCTTAATTGGTGGAAAATCAGCTTCTTTCTAACATGTAAAATTTAATATCTTAATTGAATGGTGTAATTGAAGCAGATGTGAAATGGAAGATATTTTGTTAGAGATTGACAGAATATTGAGGGCGAAGGTTTTTTTTTTTTTTTTTTTTTTGATTTGCAGGTGTGAAGCTATGTCTACTTATCCTAGAACTTATGATCTGATTCATGCTAATTCTGTTTTTAGCCTGTATCAGGGAAGGTAACTAAGCATTCATATTTTGATTTATAATTTCTTAATTGGTGGAAAATCAGCTTCTTTCTACAGAAATTTAATATCTTAATTGAATTGGTGTAATTAGCAGATGTGAAATGGAAGATATTTTGTTAGAGATGGACAGAATATTGAGGCCTGAAGGAAGTGTGATACTTAGGGATGATGTTGATGTATTGGTTAATATCAAGAAAATAACTGATGGATTAAACTGGGAAAGTCAAATTGTTGACCATGAAGATGGACCTCTTCAAAGAGAGAAGCTTTTTTTTGCAGTGAAGTCTTATTGGACGGCGCCTGCTGAGCATGATCAAATTGGATCTATATCTTCTTAGTTAAAGAGCTTTTTTTTAATGAATCGAAATCGAAAAAAAAAAAAAGATTCCTTCTATCTGTTTCAATTTACATTATTTTTATATTTTATCTTTTTTGTGGCTTTTATAAGTTTTAGAGTTACCAATTTAATTAAATGGCATAACCATGATTCATCGTTTGGTTGGTTTTTAGTTTTGAACCTAAAAACTGCAGAGAAATTGTAGTTGGAAGGTTGATAACAAAAAGCAAGTAAATTTTGGTGAAAGCCTCTTTAACATTGGCATGCAATTGTAGGTTTTGAACTTTGTAAATAAATTAATCTACAATGCATTCAAAATTTATGCCTTCAACTAATTTAAGAGGCCAACACAATATTGATGATCTCATTATGGGTTAGGTAACTCACGTAAATATTCAACTTCATAGAAATCTAAGGCTATAAATTGAAGCAAAAGGCATAAAACTTACATAAAAACAAAAGCCGAGTCAGGAGTTATGGCAGCTCTAAACAAGTTTCTGGTTTCTCTCCTTATTCTGGTGATTGCAGTTGCAATGCAGAGCCAGCAGGCTCATTCGCAAAGCTGCCCAGCTCAATTGAACAATCTAAATGTGTGCGCGCAGTATGTGGTGCCTGGTTCTACTAACACCAACCCAAGTGCTGAGTGTTGTAATGCACTGCAATCGGTGCAGCATGACTGCCTCTGCAACACTCTCCGTGTCACCGCCCGCCTTCCATCCCAATGCAATCTCCCACCTCTCAGTTGTGCTGCCAACTGGTAGTTCATTATTTACTGCTGCATTTTTAAATTATCATATTGTTTTATTTTCTTGAATTGCATGTTGATTTCCATTTTTTTTGTTTTTCTAATTGCAGATGCAGAAGTTATCATCCAGAGAATAATGTCATTTCCATTATCGTCAACTTTTTTTTTTTTCTCTTTTTAGTTTTAATGTATTCCGAGAGTTCAAGCAGAAACTTCCATATCAAGAAATAAATATATTGTAGTTCCTCTTTTAAGGGACATGCATGGAACTTAATTAATTAAATAGCTAAATGTACTTAGCAAGCAAATACTATATTTTATAATAGAAGTTATTAATTAATATTAGTTCACAATCAATGGATCGTATTATGAATCTAACTCTAAAAAAATAATAAACAATCAGTAACGAAAATAAATAATTAGAATTATTGACTTCAAATATACAAGTCCATTCACTAATTACTTTGCACATACCATATTGAAAAATAAGTAAATAAATAAAATAATAGTTATACACTTATATATAAAAAGGCATCATGTTAATGTGAGAATGTATTTAAATTAAAGAGTGAATTTTAATTTTAATATACCAAAGTTTGATCCGAAAATACTCATATTTATTCATAGAAATAATAATAATAATAATAATAATAAGAAAGGCTAGCATAATCACATGAGATACATCTAATTTCACAAAAAATAGAAGGTAAACGTAGAATTGAAATAAATAAATAATGAATAAATAATCTTTAATCTTATTACTCATTTCTCGAAGCCTAGTTTTTTTATGATTGAACATCTTCAGTATTGAATTTCTTCCTTCATAAATTTCGAGTCCTTTTTACTTTTATTTACCGGTCCAAAGTCCAACGATTTGACTCTAATTAAAAAATGAAACATGGACTTACATTTGAACTCGTTCGAAGCTCATACTGTCCCAACCCGTTTCAAGTTCCCTCCTCCAACATGGGCTACTACCTCTGGGCTTATAATATGGCTAGAAATTTTTTTATTTCATTTTTGGTAATTAGGGCTCCATTTGAAAAAATAATTTATCTTTAAAAATATTTTATAAACAACTTTTTTTTTGTTTGACTTCAATATTAAAAATTTTTAAAAAAATTCAAATTATTAGATTATAGAAATTTCATGTTAAAGATATTAATATTAAATATGAAAAAAAATTATTAAAAAAATAATACCAATGATTAAATGTGGCATTCGATGATGGCCAGTGAACATTATTTATCTGTGATGGTGACTATCAATAATCCATTAATTAATAAATATGTGTTTTTTTCTTTTTAGAGGAATAAATGTGTGGTTATGAAATTATAATGAATTTGTCCAAATTTAGTTTCCTCGAAGAAAAAATTTATCAATATCTAAAAATTATTTTTTTACCGTTTAGATATGGAAATTTTTCTTTTAAATTACTTAATTTTTCCTTTATAAATTTTTTTTTATTGATTGATTTTCCTTAACATCTTAAATATGGGAAAATTCAGAAAATATTTTGAGACAAGTAATATTTATCAAAAACAAACCAAGCCTCAGAGAGGACTCTTTTGTTGACGAAATTATAATCGTATTTTATTTCACATAAAATAAATATGAAAACATTTAATGAAAGGGGCATCCAGAAAAAACCAAAGAAAGAAGTGTATTTTGCTGTTAATTGCGATGATGTCACATACTTTGCTATAACTGGAGAAACCTCCACCACATTTCTAAGAATTATACTCTTATCCCCATTTTAGATTTTCGGTTTCGGAGAGACTTTGCGTTGCAGTTGGACTTGGAACTGGATTACTCGTTCTCAATAAAATCCGGTCACTGGAACACCTGAATTCGAATTCCCAATCCGCCACTAGCGAAACGAACCTAATCCATAAGCTTTGGTTCCCTTTACTTTTCTGTGTCTCTGTTACGAACAAACTCTCTGTCATTGATTTGAAGCTCTCATCTGCAGCCCTAACATCAAGGTACTCACAGCTACTCTCACTGTTTCCCTATTCACTGGTTATTTGTTTCCAACCTATAGAAATGCAGCTTATAGTTGTCTGATTCTGTGAATTTTGATTTCTCCAATAACTTGGGAACTTTATCTAATGAACGTCGTATTGTGATAAGTTAAATTTTGATTTTGGTGTATGTAAATGATGGTTCGAGGTAAAGCAATCACTGCTTATACTTTCAAAAGAAAGATGGATAGTGTGTAGTTTAGGCCGTTACTACGTTACCTTAGCTCTGAATTAGGAAAGAAAACATAAGAGCAGAATAACCTTCACTTTCTGTACATGACATTTCTTGATTTTCTGAGTTCAAATCACCATTTCTTATTTATTATATCCTTATTGCATTTTTATGACGATTTCATCTCATGAGGTTCGACATGGCTTTTTTTTTTTTAGGTACTGTTTTAGTGATGTCAACGAAGATAAATGAGTAGAGATGAAGGTGACCTGGGTAGCCCTCGTGATGAGGATATGGATATCGGAATCCAAACATCAGATAAGTTAGACTTAAACCTGGATCAGGACTGTCAAAGTCCAAATGTAGCCCAGGTAAGTGGAAATCAATACAGTCTTTGCTCCAAGGATGATTCTGTTACAGGTGGAATACTAAAAATTGGTACGGAGTTTGAATCAGATGAACATGCTTATACTTTTTACAACAAGTATGCCAGATTGGTCGGTTTCAGTGTTCGGAAGGATTGGGTAAATAGGAGTAAGGTGCATGGTCTAGTAGTCTCTAGAAAATTTACTTGCTCTAAGGAAGGTTATCGGCGGAAAGACAAAAGAGATGCTAATGTGAAGAAGCACAGAAAGGAAACGAGAACTGGTTGCTTGGCACACATGATCATCACTCGTCAACCTGATGGTAAATACCAGGTTACGCATTTTGAAGCAAAACACAATCATGATGTAAAGCCAAATAATGCTCAAACATTTCAGTTACAGGAGGAATTATGTGTTAGTCAAGCTTCCAAAGATGACTTCTCAAGTAATTTGGGGATGGGGTCAAATTCTACCTTGGAATTAATGAACAAAAGAATTGAAGTAGGTGAATCTCTTGATTATTTAGCCATGAATTTCAAGAATTACCTACAATCTGAAAGGACAAGAGATATGAAAAAGGGAGATGCAGGACGTTTGCTGCACTATTTTCAGAGGCAGCACTTTGAAAATCCAGCATTCTTTCATGCGATACAGGTTGATATAGATGACAAAATAAGCAACATTTTTTGGGCTGATGATAAAATGGTAGCTGACTACGAGCACTTTGGGGATGTAGTTTGTCTGGACACAACTTACCGAATAAGTAAAGATATTCAGCCCTTTGTACAATTTGTAGGACTGAACCACCACAATCTTGCTATCACTTTTGCTGCTGCACTTTTATTTGATGACACTGTTGAATCGCTCAAATGGCTATTTACTACCTTCATAGAGGCAATGTCTGGAAAGAAGCCAAAAGTCATCCTCATAGATCAAGATGCAGGAATTGTTGAAGCAATTAATTCTGTCTTGCCAGAAACAAGCCATCACATCTGTGTTTGGCAGATGTACCAAAATGCTCTCAAGCACCTTAACCATGCACTGAAGGATATTGAATCTTTCTCCAGTGATTTTAGAAGTTGTATCTATGATCACAATGATGAGGAAGACTTCATTCATGCCTGGGAGGCTTTGCTGGAAAAATATGATCTCCAGCAAAATGAGTGGCTAAGATGGATGTTTAGAGAAAAAGAGAAATGGGCCGTTGTGTATGGCAGGAACACATTTTTTGTTGATGCCAAAGGATCTCATGTTGTTGAAGATTTATACAATAACTTCAGAGGTCACTTAAACTCTGACCAAGATGCACTTCAGTTTTTTAAGGTTTTTGAGAGGATGGTAGATGAGCAACGCTTTAAAGAAATACAAGCTAATGATGAGATGATTAGATGCATGCCAAGGTTAATTGGGAATGTAGTCTTGTTAAAGCATGCTAGTGATATTTACACACCAAAGGCATTTGAAATATTTCAGAGGGAATATGAGAAGTCTTTAAATTTTGTTGTCAGCCAGTACAGTGAGAGCGAAATTTTCCTCGAGTATAAAGTGAATACATTTGGGCGAAGTCGAGAATACACTGTCACATTCAATCCTTCAGATGACACTGTCATTTGCAGTTGTATGAAATTTGAGAATGTTGGGATTCTGTGTGGCCATGCTCTGAAAGTGCTTGATAATAGGAATATAAAGGTGGTTCCATCCCAATATATCCTGAAGAGGTGGACAAAAGATGCAAGGACTGGAAGGGTGGGAGAGACTAAAGAGTTTATTGCACAAGAAAACTCAAAGTTGGTTGCAGCTAGCCGTTACAAAGAGTTGTGCCACAGAATACTTGCAATATCAGCCAGAGCCATTGAATCAGAGGACGCGTTTCAGTTTGCTTCAAGACAACTTGATGACGTAATTGAAGGGGTGGAGAAGATATTGGCTTTTAAAACTGAGGGGGTTCAGGGTATGAGCTCGAGTAGCACTGCAGCAAATGTTTCTGAAAGTGAAAACCCAGAGATTTTCTTGGATGAGAGAACAATGGAGGATCAGGATAAGGACAACAGAGTAGCGAGAATATCAGAAAAGGAGAATGCTGCCCCTGATAGGCAACAACAGAAAAATATCATAGAAAAATGCTCTAGGAAAAAAGGATTGACGAGTGCACCACCTCCACCATATACAATTAACTTTGTTTCCAGTCCCCCGCAACCATGTGTTTCAACAGAAGCCCAAACACATAATTCTGTCCTGCAGGTGATTCTTCCCAACCCTTGTAATGCATACTATTGTTTTATCTCGTTTATTTCTTAGGTTTGTTACTTAAGATTGTGTGATCCTTCCATGTGAATTGTCCAGGGTCTGTATCAGGAGGTCCAGAGCATGTACCAACAGCAGAATTCAGTCATGAACCATCAAGATAATCCCAATCCATACCAACAATCGAATTTTTACTCTGACCAGCATGATTCGCCTCGCCAAACTCCATTGCTGCAGGTACATTTGAGTTATACATTCATTGCCATGGAGGAACATTTACTTCATAGCACCACCACAAGTCCTATACGAACAACGAATAGTTGAGATGTGCGAAATCAAGCATTATAAAATAGGATAGTTTTGAGCACTAGCATTTTGTTTTTGGTGCCAGATTGAAGCTACTTCTTTGTGCTGAATAAAATACAATTCTTTGATTTTCACGGCAGGCTATGGATCTTGATCTCCAACATCCACAACCATCTTCATTCCTTTGATTTGATCACAGATTGAGAGGTTCAGACGCATCTTTTCTGGGATCCAAGTAGAGATAACGTATGTGGCATGCCATTCTTTTCTGTTATCTATATATTTTGCCGCTGTACAGCCTCAAATGCTTCAATTTTTAAGTTCTGATAAATGAGTATGTTCTAATATCTCCTTCTCTCGGCTTCCATTAGGTCCTGCCCTCCTACGTTTTATTCAATCGAAAATCATCTTTTCCCTGTTGTTTACATAATTAGCTTTTGCTAAATTCTGAATGTTTTGATTTCAAATAAGCTCTGCTGACTACTACAGAATAAAAGGATGCTTCTGAAGTCACGTCCTGTATAAAATGGTGGCATAATCACCAACTAACATTTTAGGCCTCGAACTTCAAAATTGAACGGCGGCCTTTGAGCAAAAATGTAATATAAGAAGGACCATATCAAATTAGAAGGCTTGAAATGCGACTAATGGTGGGGATTGGGCAAATGATCACTGAGTATGAATATTGGGCAAGTTGTCATTTGATTTAAATTTGAAATAACACTAGTAAGAAATAAAAATGCAAATTAGGTCATCTAATAGTCTCATCACTAGTCAAAAGTAAATTATTTTCTACTGATCCTTTCCTTGGCCTACCCTACTTTGTAACATAAAATCCCGTGACAGGCCACCACATTTGTCATTAACAGTTAACAAAGGACCCTACTGGTTAAAAGTGCATCAAACAAACGAGTAATCATAAGCAGTTTGAAACAAGAAATAGTTGTGCCGCAATAATCCAACTAAAACTCTTAACTTTGTGATCCCATGTCACGGTATCTTTCTATTTTATTTCATTTTATGAAAAATTGTTGAGGTAGTATTTTTTTTTTTTTTAAATAGTAATATATAATAGAATGAGTCAAAAGTTCAAACAATAATTCCGGGTGAATGCTTATTTTGTAATTTAAACAATTTTAAAAATTATATTGTACTAATTCCAATAAAAAACATTGCGATTTTGTGTTATGCTAATTCCAATTAAAAGTCTATTAATCATTTTTTTTATGATTTATAAATATTTCATCTTTAGAGTATTATTTTTTCAGGGAACTAAATTAACTTTAAATAATTAATATCTTCAGATAATTTTGTTAATATAATAAACTTTATATTACAGTAAAAACCCAAGCGCGTACTTCCCAAACCAAAACCATTCGCGTCTAACTGAGACCCTCAATTTCCAACTCGCTTAATCCAATCTTCCCTTCCTCTTAAAGCTGCTTCTTCAGCTCTTCCGAGACTCCGTTTCTCTATTCTGCTGTTCAGTACTCTCTCTCTCTCTCTCTCTCTCTCTCTCCCAGTAATGTCTATAAATTACAAAATCAGTTAAACTATGAGACATGGGATTTTTCCGACGAATTTTTGGCGCCAAAAAGGCCGGGTCTTCTCCGCCTTCCAAAGAGAAGAGGAGGTGGAGCTTTGCTAGATCTTCCAATTCAATTCCGTCGCATTCCAATAAGCTCGACACTTTATCAGGTCCGTATGGTGACAATTTGGACGCGAACAAGCACGCCATTGCTGTGGCAGCAGCCACTGCGGCTGTTGCGGAGGCCGCACTCGCGGCCGCTCAAGCTGCAGCAGAGGTTGTGAGATTGACTACTGTCGGCGGTGGCGGTGGTGGGGGAAGAAGTACTACTGCCTCAGCTCCTGTCATTGACGCTCACCGCCGGTGGGCGGAGGTGGCCGCTATCAAGATACAGTCGGCTTTTCGTGGTTATCTGGTTAGTATTTGTATTCATATCTTCCTTTAATCTTCCATAATCATACTTAGCTGTTTGATCCGGTGCCTTTTAGTCATTCAATCCGTCCATTGGCTGCTGGAAACATTGGGAAGTTCAAACAAAGTGGATTTTTGAATATTGGTACTTTATAGTTGGAATGCTTTTAGAAAAAGTCCAGTCTTTTGAAATTCCGTTTTAAAATTTCTTTTGTGGAAGACATTTTAATCCCAAACGCAAAATTTTCTTGAAGAAATTGCAAGTTTTCCAGATTTATGATTATAATTTTATTTTAAAATATTTGATTATTGATTTATGGTGGTCCAAAACAAATAAAGTTGCAATTAATTTGCGCCGACAATAGTGGTTCTTAGTGATTGTATGGTGTTAGCATCAGCAGAATGAACTTATTATGGCAAAAAATCGTAAATGTCGTTTATTTCGAAGCTCTTCTCTTACTGGCATGTGCCTTATCTTCACACGTATTTCTTATATACAATCTGTGACGTTCTTGTGAGAAAGACTCTAGGTAGTAGCTAGAGCCACCAAGCTCCCCCCACGCTCTTTTGAAACGCGTGTCCCACTTATCCAATAACAGGCATTGGCCATTTTTTAAAAATTAATTTATTATTTATTTTTCTAGTTAACCAGACCTTGATGGAACGTAAAGTTTGTAGGTACAAACATGTCAATTTCTCTCATGGTGTGTTTGACTGTATTTTAAGGGTATTTTCTCACTATTTCTCAGTCTGGTGTCTGCCATCCGTACTTCATTGTTTGTTTTCATTTGAACCTTGTACAAGACAGAGCCCACGTAACGCGATCATATCCTTTGCAATGCTTGCTATTAATATACAGGAATTAGAGAATTTTGGTGGCGTTTATCTTTTATTAAGGTCTATTTAATAAATAATTATCTGAGATGAGCTAGTGATTAAGATCAGACTTAATTTTTTTTATGACATCTAAATATATTTTGATTGTGTCCGCTTGCATCCTTAAATTATTATGGTTGAAACTTGAATTATCTTTCAAGTTAGTAAAAATTTTGCTATCAAATTATTGTACCTTCTATCTACAAAAGAGCAGGGCTTTTAGGAGATTCTAAAGCACTTTTTGAAATAGTTTATGAAAATAGTTCCAAAATGCATCATGAATTATCAAACGGACCATGTGATCATGATGGTCCATTGACGGCCCAGCATGCCATTTTTAGTTTGATTGGTCATGGATCACGTATAAGTGGATGGGCAGCGTTCCTAATTTAGATAAGTTGGTCAGTTCTCTTTTATTTGAATCTTGAAACAGTAATTAGTGCTCCAACTAAAGCATGATGTATCTACTTTGTGGGCAACTTTCAGCTTTTGGCCATAATTTAAAGCTCTTCTGACTTAGGAATTCCAGGGGTAGATGTTTTCTTTCCGAGCACTCTTTTTCATGTGTTCACTGAATTGTGCTAGCTTTTTGTTTAATACAATAATAATACTCCTAGCACAGCTGAACTTTTTCCCTCAGAGTGGACCAAGGCAGCTGAATACCAAATAATTTTTCCCCAAAACCTTTCAATTTGATCTGGCCAGAGGGAAAAAATTTTGCATATAACTTGAGCTTTTCAATTGAGTTCAGCTCTCCACCCAATTTCCAGTTATTTTTATATTTGGTGTCTTCTGGCACAATGATTAAGATGCACCTCTTTTAAATGCACGCATCATTATAATCTGGTCCAGATGTAATAAATTCCTGGATTTTGATGAAAAAAGAACTTGATATTTGAAGACTTAAAACAAATTGTTAATGTATTGTTTTTCTTTAATATTTTTATTTCATTTAGATTGGGTTATGATGTCGTTACCCTTATGCATGTGTATATCCACATGTTGTATTAGATGGTTTTGATTAGTTTGGGTTAAGAATGAGGATCTGATTTTAAGTTTTTGTTGGTGATGTTGAAGGCAAGGAGAGCACTAAGAGCACTGAAAGCATTAGTTAAGCTCCAAGCATTAGTGAGAGGCCATATTGTGAGAAAGCAAACAGCTGACATGCTTCGGCGCATGCAAACATTGGTGAGGTTGCAGGCTCGGGCACGTGCTAATCGAACTCATATACCAGAATTGCGACATTCTACTAGCAAGTCTTCTCAGTCACATCATACAGTAAGCCACGCTGCTGCTTCTTTTTTTTCCTCCTGTTTTTTCTATTGTTTGCTTATGCTTAGGTAGAAGCTTTAACAGTTTCTGATGGCTGTGGCCTCTGAGAATGGCTCCTCAATGAGCCTGTATTTTATTTGTAAGGGAACACAAGCCCATGCGATAAATTGGAAGTTAGTTCCATTGCTTAGGAATTTAAAATTGTTTTTGCAAGTTGCTAAGGATATGAGGAATTGAGAGTGTTGAAAGCACATTCTTCATGCCTATTTACTAATTTTGAAAGCAATTGCAGCTGCAATTTTGTTAGACTTGTCTGATAACAGTCCTTGCAAATAGTATGGAGGCATGAATTAAAGAGATAGCTTAAGGTAAGCGCATGAGTATACATCCATTATATGCTTACTTGTTAGTTTGCGTTTTTGTACCTGAGATTACCCTCAAAAAAATTTTATATTGACCAGTCATTTTAAAATTTATCTACAAAAATTTTCTATTGTTCGCACCCACTAGGCATGTTGTTAAGCAAATCAAGGTCGATTATCAGGTGCAGGAGCAATGGCATTTAAAACTAATGATATTCTAAATTTATCAGTGCCAAGAAAACTGATTTATAGTTCAGTCAAACTCTCGACTGTTGCCAAATCCATTGTTTGACCAGAGAGGAAGATTTTAAGCTCACACAATTATAAATCTCTATGTGAATTTAGGCAATGCCCTCCTTTAACTGCATTTGTTTACAGGTCACTACAAGTCATGTCAAGGATCACCTACTTCATGATTATAGTACTAAATTTGATGGGCCCTCAATTCTTAAGGTACCACGTAATTGATTTTGTAGAATCTTGTGTCAACATGTTTCTGGATGTATGGGAGATGTGTGTGTGTCAGTTAGCCCATCTAAAATAAGCAATGAATAACAGAGCGACATCTAGTCCCTCTTATTTTTTTTCTATCCTATTTTTTGTAAGAGAGGGAAAAGGAGAGGGAGTTCAACAAAATAATAATAATGATATCAATGTCAAACCAATAGAAGGGACTTTCCTAGCTTCTACCTTCTTGCAGTGGTAAAGTAGGAATCCTTTCTAAGATTCTGGTTCTCTCTTTTCTGATGAGAAATAAGAAAGTTAAGTATTTTTATAGATTTCTTTAAGGAATTCTAATTGGTTTTGCTATTCAAAACATGCAGAGATGTGGTTCAAATTCGAACTTCAGAGATGAATCAAAACTAGGTTCAAATTGGTTAGATCATTGGATGGATGAAAGTTTTTGGAACAAGCATGGTAGCATTCCAATGAGAAGTCATCTTGCTGATGATGAAAAGAGTGACAAGATCCTTGAAGTGGATACTTGGAAGCCCCACATGAAATCCCAACAAAGTATCAGAGCCTTTCAGACGTTGCAGCATGGTTTGGCTTCAGAAAATAACAGCCAGAGCTTTACAACATTCGAATCACCATCCAAAGCAACAAATCAAATGCCAAATGTCTCTTCAGGAGAAGTTTTGTTAGTAAACACTCTTAAAGTTCCCCTTGGAAAAGATGAAGCAGCTTTTAGGACTGTGGAGAACAGCTCCAATGCGTTTTCCCCATCATCTAGACCCGGAAGCAGTGGTAGAAGAGGTCCTTTTACCCCCACAAGGAGTGAGTGTGCATGGGGATTTTTTAATGGCTACTCAGGCTACCCAAACTACATGGCTAACACAGAATCCTTCCGGGCTAAGGTCAGATCACAAAGTGCCCCAAGGCAGAGGCTAGAGTTTGAAAAGTATAATTCGAGCAAAAGATCTGGCCAAGGGTTTTTTGATGCAGACACTATTTCAGAAAGGGGCTTTGCTCAACAGCCCAACTTTAGAAACAGAGCTTATCCAGCATCCGGTCGCATGAATTTGAATAGACCAGCAAGCACCGATTTGAGGTGACAACCACTTTCTTTTCTAATTGTCTTCTTTTTTCATCTTTTTCTAAATTCTTCTTCTCCTTTCCAATGTGTGTGAAAATGCTGTTATTGTAATTATTTGATCATGATCTCACTTTGTTTGCCCTTACAGAAACGAACTTGAATATTTCAAGTGTTTCTCCAAAATTGTGATTGTTTCTTGATTCATTCCGGTGATTAATGTTTTATTATTATTATTACAGTCGTGCTCATATTTTGTATACTGTTTCTCAGTGTTAAATTACCGATCTTTTCAACTGTAGCAGGAAATACTTTGTCTTTAACTATGTTTAACCCTTCGTGTCTTCACGCACATTAGATAATTGTTCTTGCTTTGTCTATGGTGGAGAATGGCCCCCATTTGTTTGTCCCATCAGTGATTTGCCTCAAATGGCTACATATCAGAGCACCTTCTCCCTGTCTAGTATAGCTTTGGATTCCCACAACAGGCCAACGAAACACACAGTTGAAGATTGTTAGGTGATGGGATTGAAAGAGTAAATTACGAAGTTTCTCCGTTCTCCATTTTGGGTACTGACAGAAGTATTCGAATCAATTATGAATGAAGGAATTGATTGCAACTGCAACCAAATCTTGAGAGGATGCTTTTCACTATTGCCTCTAGATGATGTTGTTTTAGGCAAATCAATTGCCTTTCGGTGAAGGGAAGTTTAAAACAAAAGAGAGGGAGTACTGACAGAGATTTATTAATCATTACGATTTGGCATGTTGGAATACCTTTTTCTCTTTTTTTTTTTTTAGAAATTCTTATTAAATATACTCTAATTATTAAATGTTGATCACTAAACAAACACAGTAAGGACATTATAAATTAATCATCATTGAAATAACTTCTGTCACTTATTTTTTGTTTTGAATTTCATTAAAAAGTCTGGTTGAAAACATACTTCTTATTCAATCTCTTGATCCAATTTCTTCAATCTCTGCCAACCCAACTTAAGGAACCCTGCATGATCACATGAACTAACATTAGAATATTTTAATATGCCAAATTCAGTTAGAAATATGATGCCATAGGAATTTAACAAATTCCATCAACTTTAGTTGTATGCTATTAATTATTGGGATGAAGAGAAATATAATCCAAGTTTAGATCAAACGAGCCATTAAATTTGGAAGTCAATATAATGGGCTTTGGTTTAGTTATTACGATGAGGATAATAATATGGGTTCAAATCGAGAGAAATAGATATTTACGTGGTGCAATCTGCATTAGGACCAACAATGAAGCCCAAGCTTATTCCGCAAAAGCCAGGCAGAGTAGCAATAGTGGTGGCAAATGGATTATAAGCAGCAATCAGCCCCATGAAGCATCTACAAACCGACCTCTTATTATCGCCGGATTGTGCAATCAAATTCAGGCTTGTCATGGACTCACAACACGGCGAGCCCGGAAGTGGGTCTGGCGAACCATAGCTGATGAAGGTTGAGCAAGCTGAGAGGAAAGCCGTCACAGTGGCACAATCAATGTTTGTTGCCTCCACTGCAGCCAACGATAGCAACATCACCAATCCTATCTTCACTTTCTTGGCCTCCATTTTATTACACCTTATTTCAGAGACGAACTAATTTAATACATTTGGATTCCTTTTTTTTTTCTTAAGTTGAACTATTGATATTCATTAGTATCTATTTTGTTGGGTTGGTGTGCAATGAAGAACCTGTGCCTTTTCATGCAAGTATGATGAGTTGCTGGCTCGCAAAGCGTTATGTATTAGCTAGTGAGCAAGTTTCATGTTTCTGGTGTTGTGGTGTAGTTGGTTATCACGTCAGTCTAAAAGAACCTAGTGACCTTATTTCATGCATAGTATGATTGAGTATTGCTGGCTCGCAAGCGTTATGTATTATGCTAGTGAAGCTAAGTTCATGTTCTGGTGCTTGTGGTGAAGTTGGTTTATCACGTCTCAGTCTACACACAGCTGAAGGTCCCGGTTTCAAGTTTGGGCGGAACGCCATTTTTTGTTCAAGCTCAAGGCCAAATATACATTAGAGGCTTTTTTTACATCTAACACGCTGAAGATCTCGGCGGTTCGGGCTGGGACGTCCAATTGTTAGTGGGGGGAACTACTGCAGTCTACTTTTAAACAATTCTAACACACTGAAGGTCTCCGGTTCAAGTTTGGGCGACGCCATTTTATGTTCAGCTCAGCCCAAATATACATTAGAGCTTTTACATCTAACACGCTGAAGATCTCCGGTTCGGGGCTGGGCGACGTCATTTTTAGTGGGGGCGACCTACTGCAGTCTACTTTTTAAACATTAGAATTTAGTATAGGAGAGAAACATGTTTGGTGTCGTGGTGTAGTTGGTTATCACGTCAGTCTAACACACTGAAGGTCTCCGGTTCAAGTCCGGGCGACGCCATTTATATTTTTTATATCGAATGCACAAACCGAGCAAGGATATGGTATTGTACCTACAATATGAAACTTGAATCTGGTGTCGTGGTGTAGTTGGTTATTATGTCATCTCATACGCTGGAGGTCTCCAGCTCGACCATCGGTGACGCCATTTATCCATTGATATTTTTTACTCGGTTCATTTTGTGAAATTACGTTTTTCGTGACGTATTTGTCTACTTGCATTCTGCCAAACCAGTTACACTATGCAAAACGGCTTGTTTTATATTGATTTGCGTATCAGTATTTTGTGTTTGAATAGCCAAGAATCACATATAAAGACAACTAGAAGAAGAGTTTTCATTGTTTAACCCGTCGTTTCCTAAGCTACTTGTAAGCATTTACACACAGGAATTTGACACCACAGAAATAATGGAGTTTGTTTCCCTCCTAGGTCTGGTTTTCATCACAGCTCCATCTTGAGGTGGGTACGCAGCTCAAGTAATGACACCAATGACAGTGATCATTCCCATTCTCTCCTCGGAACAGCATCACTAAAGCAACTGTAAATCTGCATTTCAATCATATTCAAGTTAGTGTTTTTTCATAAACTAAATTCAGAATGAATTCCAACAGTAAACAGAACGATAAGAAACTTCTTTTTTAACAGCAGTCTCCTCCAAGTGGAGCATAATTCCATGCCCCCACTAACCATTAAGATGGGTATCAGTATCAAATGACTGAACACTGATTAGGAGCGCACTAACCACATGACATAAAAGTAAACTAGTTCTGTCTGTTTGCTTTTTTCATAACATGAAGATTGTATTGCACTAACTAGTTCTGTCTATTGCGCGTATCTAAGATACCGCCTTAAAGATGGTGTTTTCCCTGCCTAAATCATAATCTAAGTCTGCCTCTTGTCTATTTCACCATTTCAGAATATCTTTCCACCACACATAATGTCAAAGAAGACTAAAAATGTGCATTCAGAACAGGAACATGAAATCATTCATTTCCTGGGCCCCAAAACCATATAAATTGATTATGACTAATTGTTTTGATATTTTGGAGTTTGAGGCTGTGACTTACCCTACAATTAGGAGAACCAAAGAAACCACCCACAACAAATATTGGTACGCCTTGTACTTGGATTTGACACCTACACTGGTAGGGAGGTTTTGACCCTCTAACCACCCATATTGAGGACGAGGCAGTAAAACAAATCCGAGGAGAAACCCCGCCAGAAATCCACCGATGTGGGCGTAATTATCAACATGCGGCAGAATTCCAATTGCGAGGTTGATGGCTATGATGACAAGAAGCGTAAGCAAAGCTGCAGCCTATGGAACCAACAAAGAACAGGAATTAGGAAGTAAAATCAATATAAGATGCTTCGCACCAACATTACTCCCATTAGATTCTAATAGAGAGGAGAGTGTAGTGAACAATTTTAATTTCATCTACTGTAAAACTTAGAACCAGGAGTAGACTAGCATTTTGAGAATATATTGCCAGCACTTGTGTATGTTACAAATAATATTAGCATGCTTACCTTGTTAGAATAAATAGTCCAGTTTGTAATTAGTTCTGAAAGCATTGCTCCAAGAAGCCCGAAAAGGGCACCAGATGCACCGACAGAGATGCTGTTTCTAATAAATAGAGCGGAAAGCACACTCCCAGCAAATCCAGACAACAGATAAATAACACAAATGCGCACTGCAAAATTGTGACAAAAACATTAGAACCCATAGAAAACCGAATACAAATCTCAATTTATAAAGTGAAATTTTTAAGCATGATTCAACATAGATCAGAAGAATCAGGCTCAAAGACATCAAGTTTGACCTTATTGGTATAAACATCGAGTAGTGAAAAGCAAGCCTATCCTATGGTTCTTTTGTTCAAATACTTAATGAAAAACATTCAAGTAGGCCAAATTTTTATCCATTGTCAAAGTGAGATCTTCACATGGAAACACATCAAAGTGTACTTCGGAGAATATTTTAAGAAATACATACCAAAACCAAATTGCTGCTCAAGGCGAACGCCAATGAAGATCAAGCAGAGCATGTTTGAAAGAAGATGAATAACACCGGCATGCAGCCAGGCACATGTGACAAGCCTCCATCCCTGGTGCTCATGTACAATTTTTTGCCACTGAAGAGCCCCCAATTTCTCCAATCTTTGACCCAAAAAAGAGGACAAGAAAGGGGAACAAATTAATTAAACTATTCCTTCTACTTTCTTAGATTTATTACTGTCATGGTAATGAAAATACACAGAAACAACAAATCGAAACAAGTTGGGTTATTTTGGATTTAAACATCTGATACCCCTTAGGAATCCCAGGTAAATAACATAAACTTATGGACTTCACGATCCAATTTTGCGTGATAGACTTAAATAATTCGGTAAAGAAGAACTATCTCATCTGATGCACAACAATTCTAAATATAAGACCAGACGACATTCTCCTTAAGGAAGATCAATGAAGAACCAATAAATATATAATTAATATTCAGAAGAAAATACCTGATTCTGCAGAACTAAGTTTCACTAACAAGCATTTAAACTATAGAAATCTATTAAAAACCACACCAAAGACATAAAATTATTTAGACAACTTCCACTTCCAGACTCCAGTATTCCACTGTTACTCAAATTAATCATCTGAAACACATAACCACCATGAAAACCCCCCTTTTTCCCTTTCCAGATCGACTAAATTCTCATTCCAAGCACATAATAAATCAAAACAACTACATATCTAATGCCAAGGCTAGAGATACCCGATTAACATTTGAAGGATCAAATTTCATTCTAAGCTTAATAATCACTCTCACAAAATTCCTCACCCGGGTTTAAAAAATAAGACAAAACGGAAAAAAAAAAAAAAAAAAAAAAAAAGCCGATTAACATCTTGAAAAAGGATCAAAATTCCATATCTAATGCTTAATAATCCACTCTCACATAAAATTCTCACCGGGTTTAAAAAATAAGGACAACAACGGAAAAAAATAAAAAAAAAAAAAAAAGGGTCAGAAGGAATTTAAGTAATTACGTAGCGGAAGAGGGACCAGAGAGATTGTCCCCGCTTAGAGCTCGAAAGAAGAAACCTGCCACACAAAAAAAAAAAAAAAAAAAAAAAAAGGGCAGAGGAATTAAGTAATTACGTAGCGGAAGAGGGACCAAAGAGAGGATTGTCCCTTAGAGGCTCGAAAGAGAACCTCCCAAGAAATCTTGCAACGCAATTCCCTTCAAACCGAGAATGAAAATGGTCAGGGCAATTATTGATGAACATGACAACGATAAAGACAGCAACATTCGCCACCACAAACATAGGCACAAGCCACGACGTCCATTGGGTCTCTCTATCTTCTATCAAATACGAGGAAGATGATGTGTAATTGTCATTTGTTCTGCTCTTCACTCCTCTTTCTATATCTCCTCCTGCCATGCTTCCAAGTTCTTACCTTTCTTATGTGTGTGCGTGTGTTTCTCTCTGTGTCTAGTGAGTGTTTTTAATGGAGGGAGGGAGGGACTTTCACAGAGAGAAAGTGGAAGTTTTTTTTTATTTACATATACGGAAAGAAAGTGGGTAAGAATGTTCAGTTAGCTGCTGATGTGAGCACAAAAACCTGTTATTTACAAAATCAACCAATATATATTCGACACGTTGATACGCGCAGTGTACATTATTGACGTGACTAGACACGATTCGTTTGGTACAGTACCAAGTTTGGTATAGGAAGTTGCTGTTGCTGAGTCAAATTGGTTTCTCGCTGTCTATAACTGTAACTGTAAAGTTTCGCGGTTACGACACTGCTTGTGCCGTTTTAAATGAGATGAACAAAACTTCAGGAAAATCTAGTTTTTATTTCTATCGAGCTAAAATGTGATTATCATTGAATAGAAAAAAAAAAATCAAAGGAAAATGTTTATTTTTTGAGGTGATAATAATAATAATAACACTGTACAACTTTTGAAAAGGTAATCAAGACACACGGTTTCCTTGTCTTTTTCTTGTATGATTGTATTTTAAATTTTTAACCATATTAAGCTTTACTAAAAAATATAAAATTTATTTTTTATTAAGCTACATATCAATTTTTACCATAAAAATTTCTTAGTGCAAAATCATAAATTCTATCAGAACAGAAGTCTCTCTCGTTCAAATTCAGATCCAGATTAGTATCCACCCATGGCCATAGAACCCTTTTCAAATTTCATTATTCGTAATTTTTCCATGACAGTTTGTCTTTGCCTCTGAAACAATAATATATTAAAGAACCATAAAATTTCTCACCTAATAATTATTCTTCTAAAATAATTTTGAGGAGAATATAAATACACTCTAGAAAAATGTGATAGCACTTTCTAGTTTATACAACTTTTTTTTTTTTTTTTTTAATTAGAGGGGCATATTTTTTAAAGAAGCAAATAATCTTTGGCAAATAAGTGCCAACCAGATTTTGCATAACACATCGCTAGCAATTTCAAAGCCGCCTTCTCTTCCCTCTTCCTTTTCCTTTGCAGCATCTATTATTCTGCTTTCATAAGCCAATTAAAGGAATAAAGGGAAAGGAAAGCAGAATCGAAACTTGTGGAACCGAAACTTGTAGAACTCTAAAGAGTCATCTCTCCGCTTTGTGGTGGGGTTGGGTGGTGGTGGTGGTTTGGTTTGGGTGACTCTGTTGCTTACAATCTACTCTCTCATCTTGCCACGTGGCTACTATGATTGGACTAAACCCAAGGGATTGTCCCATGGCCCCACTACTTTTGTTGTTTTTCAGAAAAAATAATTTCATCAGCATCAAATTTGTTTTTGTTTCCTGCCCACTACTTCCAGTTTCCAGGCGATTCTTCCGTTCGGGTAATGACAATAGAGGTTGATCTACCTCCCTTTCACGAGACAGTGACTTTGCATGTTATTTCAGCACAAACTTAATAAGGGAATTTTCTACTGAAAGGAATGGTTTTCACAATTCTTTCTCCTTTGCAGCAAAACTAACATTATAATGAAACATATCATTTAAGACAGCCAACAACACAAGTGTGTCCCAATCCTTCATATCTGTGATTCATCTATTTCACGCGTTGTGTTGGTGCACCTTAAATTAATGGCAGCAGCAGAATCACATGCTTTCGTGTGTGTCCTCCCCTTCATATAATACAACCAGCAAAGATAAATTTCGCAATTTCAAAATGCCAAACCAATTGGACAAAACCACTCTTAAACATATCCAAACCCTAAAGCCTAAAAAGGAAACAGCATTCTCGTCCAAATTGACTAATGATATATTCTTACTTGACCTTCCCTTGTGAAATACAACTCTAAAAAAGAGAGACAGATTTCTCTGAGGCTAGTCTCATATCTGTGGTGGTAATACAAGATCCATTTCAATTTTAGAAGTGGGCAAAAAGTTTAGGCGAACAACAGTTGGTCCATTTAATTTTCCAGAAATGAACATTAACTAATAAACCGTCATTTGATTTCTTTGACAAAACCATGACACTAATAATTCATGAGATAACAAAATTGCATGATCCTCGTATGATCGGTGATACAAAATTCTTTGAAGGAATACCTAGTAATACGAGGAAATAGGGGTTTCAGCGCTTCCCTCCACCCCCTCCAAGCTTGGGGCCCTTTGGTGCCGCACCTTTGGGCACACCACCCTTGCTTTGGGTCTTTTGTGTCTTCGCCATCACCTCAGCCTTCTTGGCCTTCTTTTCATCCTTGGTTTTCTTAATCCTCTCCTTTATTTCACTGCAGAAAGGATTGCATAATTCATTTAACAAAAAAAATATATATCTGAAATGCAAACAGTGACAGAATAATCAATGCACATTGATCAATGCAAAAATTAGAAAGCATACCGGAGTGCAGCTTCTCTTGCAGCATCACGAACTTCAGGTTTTTCAGTTCGTCTCTTCTGTATGACCTCCAAAGTAGCACCAACTATTGACCTTGAGTACGGTTTTTTGGTTGTGCGACGTCTCTTCTTAACAGCTTCAGCAGCAATGTCCTGTGAATGTTAAGAAAGAATTTTCAACATGACACGTAAAACATTATGTTACAAAGTTATTTTCCAATTCCTATTAAAAAAATATACAACCATAGAGAATATCCACCTTCTTATGTTGCTTCCTGTACATAGCTGTCCAGGTGAGCTTTGAGGGCTTCAGTCGGTTGTGGAAGTACCTCTTGCATTTAGAATTGGCGAACAGGAAGACCTTAATTTGATCGACAAAGATTATTCAGTTTCACAGTAAAGAGGAATGCATGTAAATTAATTTTGAATTTGATAACATTGGAAATTACCTGAGAATCTGAGCGAATAAATCTGATACCCTTACCAGGGTATATCTTTGCGCCGCTAAAGCGACATAGTTCAGTCCTGAAATTCCCAGAATTAGCAATCAATTCCAATTCAACAAAAGGCATATATAATAATACATTTTTCTCTTAAATCAAACCGGTCCACTAGCTATACATAGCAATGACATTTCTTTATTAAATATTTTGCTACTCTAGCACACAAAAAGCATATGCAGAGTCTCCAATGAATTGAAAATTCCAAAAGCATATACATATTTATGGCAAAAAAAAAAAAAAAAAAAAAACACCAATTCAGGACAAAAGGCAATATATAATAATACATTTTTCTCGCCTTAAATCAAACCCGGTCACTAGCTATACAGTAGCATAGACAATTTCCTGGCTATATTAAATAATTTTTGCTACTTCTTAGGGCTTCTCGCACACAAAAGCATATGCAGAGTCTCCGAATGAATTGAAAATTCCAAAAGACACACATATTTACAATAATTTTATGGCAACAAAAAAACAAATTAATCAAAAAAAAATTGCAACAAACAAACAATTTCCTATCTGTTGATTCTGCGGAAAAAAATGCGAACCATGAGATTTGATATTTAGGGCTCGAGTGAGTAAAAATCTGCTCAACAAAATTTTTGTTTCGTCTCTTCATGTAATAACGCACGCAAAGCAGAAGCATTTGATTATATTGGCAATTTATCTTAACAGAGTTAAAATATTATTCTATTAATTATTTCAAATTGAGACTCATACAAAAAAAAAATAAGTAACGTACTTGAGAACCATGGCGGAAAAAAAAAAAAAAAAAAAAAAAGCACAAAACAACAATTTCTATCTGTTTGATTACTCGGGAAAAAAAATGCGAACCAGAGATTGATTATTTAGGGCTCGAGTGGAGTAAAAATCTGCTCAAAATTTTGTTTCGTCTGATACGCACCAAGCAGGCATTGAAATGCAATCAACAGATGTTGAAATTATCATTAAATTTCAATTGACAAAAAAAAAAAAATAGTAACGTACTTGAGAACCATGGCGGCAGCAGCTTCTCCTAGTCTGTGAATGACTTTGGCAGGAAATACAAACCCTAAGTTTAAATTTGTTGGATCAAAATATAGTTTGTTATTGGGCTTAATTGTAGTTGAGGCCCTTGAAATTTATGGGTTGAGAACCGGATTATGGGCCCGCATAAGATGAAGGCATTTACATGGAGGGAACAAAGAATCTGAACTGCTTTGAGCTACTCAAACCACTCTTCCAAATCAACCGCTATTTGTCTAATAACCTAAACGTGGGGTCGTTTTCTATACTTTACAAAGTACAATATAATCCATAATTTTTTTTTTTTTTAAGTATAAGTATGGTATCTTCACGCTCGGCCATAATGATATTTAATTAACATCTTTCTAAAAGTAACAATTCTAAATTTTAAATCTTTAATCTCATTTGAAAAAATATAAATATAATCTATACCGCTGATTCAACTGTATATTGGTAATCAATTGCGTTCGTGGATAACTGTAGCGATGGACCTATTCTTCAATCAAAGACCCAAAAAGACAGGCTTAATGCCAGTCCTTACACGTTATGTGATATTGTCATTCGCATCACAATATCTCGAGAGGCAGATATGGCACTTGAGATTGAGGCATTATTGCGGTTTTGCGCAAATTAGAAAGTGAAGTGCTTGCATTTGCAACGTGCAAGCTGAAGACAGATTGGCCTCGAGTGTTATGGGTCTCTGGAATTTTATATTTTTATTTCCTCATCAACTGCTTAGTGGACAGAGATGGGCTAAGCTCACTTTATGACAAGACTTGCATTTCACTTTTTTGTTTTTTTTCATTCCCTTCCCATTTTGAAGGATTCTTCCAGAACATTGTCTCATCTCATCTGTTTCGCTTTATCCCATTAAACTATAGATTCCTTAGAATATGAAAATATTGCTTTTTGGATGTTTTTTTTTCTTACAAAATAATTACATAATAAAAGTAAGCATGATTATTAATCTTTTTATTATTTTTAACAATATGACAAGTTAAAAATTTAAAACTTCGTATCTATAAAAAATTTTACATATTTATTTGTATTTATTAAAAAGTGAGGACCGGTTGTCATAATTCTTTATCCCAAAATTTATCCCATAAATAAAAATAATAAAAAGAAATTAATTGGTTTAACTGGTCATCAATGATAATTTTTAGTTAATACTTAATCACAATTTTATTTTATTTTATCTTGTTTTGTCTTCTTTCTATTGTTAGGAGCAATTTATTTTGAGCAAATAGAGGTCTTAAATAAAATAAGTGTTATTAAACTCAGTTTGATTCAAATGAATCCAGAGAATCAATAATTTAGACTTAAAATCAAATTAATTTCATTTTTATAAGTTAAAAAAACAAAATAAATCGAAAAATTGGGATCAAATCAATTGATTCAAGCAAACTCCATAAACTTAAATTGATTTATTGATAATTAACGATTAATATTTTTATAATTCATCAATTAAATTATTAATCCTCTCAGTCTTTTCAGCAGGATCAACATTCAGCCGGATTTAATATCATTGGGATATAATTTGGACCTTTGTGTTTAATGATGGTAATCAATTCAATGTGAATAATACATCCTCAAAATAAATGCTAAAATTCCATTTTTGTAAAAAAATTGAGATGGATAAAATGATGTTCCAAGCATTCATTGAGTTATTTATGTTTAATGAAATTAAAATTGGATTCACCGATATATCATTTATTTTCAAACTATTTATGTTAATTACCTCAATAACTCGTTATTAAACTAATTATCCACATGCTTAGAGTAATTAATTAATTATATATTTATTGGATGCAATAATGTGGTCAAAAATTAATTTTTGTGGTGTACATTGCATTCACGACAACTTTTTTTTTTTTCCAGATATACATTACACATTATTTATACTCAGTTATAAAAACATCATAGAAGTTTGAAAATATTAATAAAATAGTGATATGATAATACTATTTTATTTTGAAGATATATAAAAAAATTACAAAAATTTTGGTTTATTAATTAATAATAACTTGATATTTAAAAAAAATTGACATTCTTTGAATTTAATATATATATATATATATAAGACAACTTTTTTTTTTTCCAGATATACATTCCCACATTATTTAATAACTCAGTTTATAAAAACATCAATAGAAGTTTGAAATATTAATAAAATAGTGAATATGATAATACCTATTTTTATTTTTGAAGATATATAAAATAATTACAAAAATTTTGGTTTATTAATTAATAATAACTTGAATATTTAAAAAAAATTGACATTCTTTAAATTAATATATATATATAATATAAACTTGAAGAGTTGTATTAATTTTATAATTTTATTTAAAAATAAAAAAATTAACTTATCTATCTATAATAATAATAATAATAACAATAATATTATTAACATATGTAAATAAACATATAAATAGGAAGGAGAAAATAGTGGAATTTCCTAAAGTATACTTAGTAAAAATTTGAATATTGTACAACATCTTTAGGTATAACCAATTAAAAGGTTTTGATTTAAAACTATAAATAATGTTTGATTAATTCTAATATTTTTTATATTTAATTTATCTAAAAAATGATAACTTGTGATTTATACAATTATAAATATTTAATATTAATACTAATATTAATATTTTTATAATATTTAAAATAAAACCAATTATATATATGTAATTAATTTATTTTTAATTTTAATTTGTATTCTACAATGGTATATTGTTTCCTCTTAATGAAATTTTAATTTGATTTCTTAAAAAAAATTGTCATAATTTCAGAATTGGAGTCAGTAATAAAGTTATATCCATGCCACCTCTTATATAGATGTCATGTGGGAATCCATATGGAGTAAATATGCAAAGTAAGAAATAATCTCGACTTAAAGAGAGATTCTACGTGGATTATGTATTATTAATGGATATGTTATGCATTTTTCAAATTAATAAATAATAATTTTGTTATACGTTTTAAATCTCATATTGAAACCTTCAAGCTTCGAAAGATTATACATCCCTTATCTAATAAAATAAAACGATTAACCATTTTAATTAATTTAATTAAGATGAATTTATATAAAATAATTAAAATAATACGATCATCCATTTTAATTAATTAACTTAATTAATATGATATATTTAAAAAAAATATTACCTATGACTAATAAGATAATAAATATTTTACAAATGTTTAACAATGAATGCTAATGTTAATATTAATGTTAATTAATATTTAAAAATAAATTTAATCATATACATGTGTGTGTGTGGCACACACTTGAAGAGTTGCATTATTTTATAATTTTATTTGAAAATTTAATCTACCTATCTATAATAATAATATTAACACATGTAAATAACACACATGTAGGAAGGAAAAAATAATGAGATTTTTTTAAAGTATACTTATTGAAATTTTGGATATTGTATAACATCCTTAGGCATGAAAAATTAAAAGGTTTTAATTTAAAAATATAAATAATATTTAATTAATTGTAATATTTTTGATATTTGATTTATCTAAAATATCAATAATTTATGATTTGTACAATAAAAATACCATGTAAATGTTTAAAAATTAAAATTAAAATTAATATTTTGATTTTAATTATATTTAAAAATAAAACTAATTAAAAATACAAAATTAAGTAATTTTTAACTTTGATTTATATTCTAAACTATTTCCTCTCAAAGAAATTTTAATTTCTTAAAAAAAAAAAAATGCCATACTTAACAGAATTGGAGTTAGTAATAAAGTTATATTCACGCAATCTCTTATATAGATGCCATGCGGGAATCTATACTCAGTAAATATGCAATATAAGAAATAATCTCGACTTCAAAGGAGATTCTACGTGGGATATATATTATTAATGGATATGATATGCAATTTTCAAAATTAGAAAATAATTATTTTATCATCCGTTTCAAATCTCATACTAAAACCTTGAAGCTTCGAAAGATTTACATCGCATCTCTAATAATATCATACCAAAAGACATATGATGCAATCATAACCTTGAATTTTACATGCTTTTTTTAAGAATTTTAATTTTACATAGTATAAAATTATTTTTTATTATTTTTTATTTTGGGAATGAATAAGAAACAATTATAACATGTTTTTTTCTCATTATATATATTTGTACTCCATTTATGTTTTGTACCTATTATAACACCTTAACATGCACACACTATTAAAATTCAATCGAGGAGATAAAAAATATTTGTAAAAAAATGCTATAGTTTTGTTTAATTTACATCTCTTTCCTAATTTTGCAGTGATATATATGGTTAAAAAGTTTGAAAAATAGAGTTATAATCTAATGACGTGCATATTTTTTTTGAAGAGAGATGACTATGTGAATTGATAAATCATTTTAATTATTAAATTATAAGTTATAAGAATAAATAAATCGATTCAATTATTAGATTATAGGTTATAATAATGATAAAAAAGTGGATCGAATCAATTTGTTTTCTATTTTTCAATGATATACGCGATTAAAAAAAATTTAAAAATAGAGTCATAATCTAATGATATATGGACAATTTTGTGGACCGATAAATTGATATAGGTTATACGAGTTATATATATGGCTAAAAATATTTAAAGAACATAGTCAATAATCTAATGATGTGTGGACAATTATTTGGATCCATAAATAGATTCAATTATTAAATTATATCCATTTATAACTTTTAAGAGTAACATAAGAGCGAAGTAATGCTTTTATTTTTAATGATATATATGGAAAAAATTTTTTAAATTCCGATTAATAATAGAGATTTTGCCCTAAAAAGTAGATTCTAGCATGGCGCGTTTAATAACTGAGAGTGCATATGATATACATGCCAATTAAATTATACATTTATTATTTTCTTAAAAGAGATAAATTAATTGTTTTAAAAATCAATTTTCACTCTATATTTTATTAAAATTAAAAGTGAATAATGATTGGAAAAAAAGAAGAATCAACTATGATTCAAATTAGATGGAGAATGAGGAAAAGTTTAGAAATATTAACAATATTTTAAAATGAGTTAAATGGATTTGAGTGATATATTTTCAGAAAACGTTTGAGAAATGAATTTATGTTTTATAGGCCAAAACTGGCAGGAGAATATCTATTTTATTTATTAAAAATAAAAAGAATTGACAATGAAATCGATGGACATGGCAAAGTTAGAGAGTCAAAGGATCGGTGAGGGTGAAGTTGGGAAAAAACAAGCCAAAAAAGAGAAAATGAAAATGAAACAAATACGGTTGAGCAAAAATAAAGTGATTTCCAGATCAGGTTTAGGATCTTGTTCCCAACCAAAGAAGACTGCAGTCACGCCATCATTATTATTTTATTTTTTTACCAGGTTTTATATTTTCTCAGCAACGAAAGGTCTGAATTACCCTCCTCAAACAAAATAAAAGGTTTAAATTACCAAAACATCCATGTCATTTTGGCTGAAATACCAAAAGGCTATCCACTGCCATTTCTGTCAACTTGTTACTGGCTAGTTTTCGCCACGTACTATAATTGTACTGAATTAGAGCCGCACTGAATCACCGACTATTGAATTAGGACAGCTTGCGCGAAACAACACGCGCGAGTAGCAGCGTGTGATTAGAGAAGAGGGCGGACATCACGAAACCTGTTATAGCACTAGGTGGACCCCTCTATTTTTCTCTCTTCCTACGTATACACATAATTTATTACTTCCCTTTCTATTTCACAAAATTTCCTTTTTTTTTTTCAACTTTGAAAGGAAAGAGAAAGGTGAGAGCGAATTGTGCATGGAGAAAGAGAAGCCATTCAAATCAGAAAGAAATTATATAATAATTCTGAACTAGGTTTTTGGGTTTCTGGTTTTTTATTTTATTTTTAATTGGAGTGAACAAAATCCCATTTGACTCTACTGATCTCCTTTCACTATACATGTAAGTCAGCTCAAACCTTCAATTCCTAATTATTATTTTTTTCATAAATAATAATGTATATTTTTTGTCGTTTATCTTTGGACAGATCCCAAACTGTGCATAGAGATAGAGAGGATCTGATTTTCTATAGTAGTTTATGTATATCATCTATCTCTGTGAAAGAAACAGGCTTTGGTTACTGTAAAATAAAAAATAACAAAGGTGCCTTTTTTTTTTCTCCGTACTGGGTTTGGTTTTTGTATTGTATTGTGTCCAGTTGAAGTGTTACAGTAAGAGAGAGAGAGACAGTGAGAGAGAGAGAGAGAGAGGGGTCAACTGCGTCTTTTTGCTCTGATTTGGTTGGGTACTAATAGTATTGTGCATTATTTTGAAAAGTCTTTTTATTAAACAAGTGTGAATGTGAGGGATAAGCTTCAACTTTTTGCTGTTTGGCTTTTGGGTTCTTTCTTTTCTTTTCTTTCTTTTTTTTTTTTTTTTTTTTTTTTTTAATCTGTGCTAATCCTTTTCGGACCTTTTCGTTTTTTCTTGCCCTTTTATTTCCATTTTCAATACTGACAAACAGTTGGTCAAAGCATTTCTATTTGTTCTGGCAGAAGCTGGATGGAAAAATTAGGGTTTTGTTCATTTCTTTTTTTTCATTTACTTTTTTTTTTTTTTTTTTTTTTTTTTTTTTTTTTATCTGTCTAATCCTTTCGGAGCCTTTTCGTTTTTTCTGCCCTTTTATTTCCATTTTCAATACTGACAAACAGTTGGTCAAGCATTCTATGTCTGCAGAAGCTGATGGAAAAATTAGGGTTTTGTTCATTTCTTTTTCTTTCATTACTGGTCTTTATGGTGTTTCAGAGATTTTCCGCTGATGGGTTTGTGCTGTAGAGAAGGAAGGATAGGTGTGAATACTGGATCAAAGAGAGCGACTTTTATTTCTTAAAAAAAAAATTGACCTTGCTATTTCTTCTAGAGAGAGTTCAAAGTAATGCATGGGGCGTTGACAATGAAACAGCCTTTTCTCTTTGTCTGTTGAGACTGCTACTGTAAATACTAAACAATCTTGGTTCAATGCGGAGGTGGCTGAAGTTTTTAAATGTCAAAACTAGGACGACAAGAATAGAGGAGCAAAATCTAAGTGCATCCCTGAGACACTGATAGCTTCCTCTTCAGTAAACCAAGAATTAGAGATTGATTAGAGAGATAAAAAAAGAGAACAGAAAGCGTTTTCTCTTTCTTTTTCCATTTTCGACGAGTTCTGAGGTTTTTGATAGTCAGTAATAGTTTTAATAGAGGTGGGGGTGGGAGTTCAAATATTGTGGTTGATATTGTTACACACAGCACTAACATGCATAGTGGTGCCATTGCTCAGCCACCGCTCCTCGCTTCATCTATTCCCAAATCACCCGCTCTTTCTCTTTCTATAGTATGAATCATCTCATCAAATACATATTGTTTCTTGTTTTTTTATTTATTTATTTATTTATTTATTCTTTAATTTTTTATTGTTGATTGTGAGTTGGTTTTAATGTTTTTTGCTTCTTGCTGTTCTTAATGATGTGCCCTCACTTTTATTTTTATTTTTTTACTTTTTGGTTAATCTATTCTTAATGGAGTGCAGAAAGGCAAAATGGATGATCACGGTGATATGGGTCTGCTTGGGGAACCTTTTGATCCTAGTATAGTGGGGAGAATCAAGGAGGATGGTTATGAGAGCAGGTCTGGCAGTGATAATCTGGAAGGTGCATCTGGGGATGATCAGGAAGCTGGGGACCATCAAAGGCGCCGGAAAAAGAAATACCATAGGCACACTCCTCATCAAATACAAGAGCTTGAAGTGTATGACTTTGTCCATTAATTTATATCTTAATGCATATGCATTTTTTTTTTCTTTTTTTAAGCTTGGATTTAGGGATTTGCTAAGGGAGCTTTTTGTTGTCGTGTTAATAGTTTCTTTAAGGAGTGTCCACATCCGGATGAAAAACAAAGATTGGAGCTTAGCAGGAGACTCGGCTTAGAAAGTAAGCAAATCAAGTTTTGGTTCCAGAATAGGCGAACTCAAATGAAGGTAAATTGCTAAAGTGTAGTGCGCCTTTTGACTTTTCCTTCATTTTCTCTTATGGTTATTGAAGAGTTTTAAATTGTTGATTGTGGAATTAGACCCAGCTGGAACGTCATGAGAATATAATCCTTAGACAAGAAAATGATAAGCTCCGAGCTGAGAATGAGTTATTGAAGCTGAATATGACAGACCCAATATGCAACAGTTGTGGCGGTCCTGTAGTTCCTGGTCCAGTATCTTTTGAGCAACAGCAATTAAGGATTGAAAATGCTAGACTCAAGGATGAATTAGGTCGTGTTTGTGCTTTAGCCAATAAGTTCTTAGGCAGGCCACTCTCGTCCTCAGCCAGTCCTGTCGCTCCTTTTGGCTCAAATTCCAAGTTGGACCTTGCAGTTGGGAGGAATGGGTATGGGGTTTTAGGCAATGTAGAGGCGCCATTGCCGATGGGACTTGACTTCAATGATGACATAACAATGCCTTTAATGAAGCCTATGACAAGCCCTGTGACTAATGGAGTTCCTTATGATAGATCTATGTTTATAGATCTTGCATTGGCAGCTATGGATGAATTGATTAAGATTGCTCAGATTGATGGTCCGGTTTGGATGAAAAGCTTAGATGGAGGAAAGGATGTCTTGCACTATGAGGAGTACACGAGGACATTTTCTCCTTGTATCAGTATGAAGCCTAGCAGCTTTGTTACTGAGGCTACAAGGGAGACTGGTTTAATAATCATCAACAGCTTGGCTCTTGTTGAGACTTTGATGGATGTGGTATGCTGTCTAACTCTTATGCCGCTGTGAATGCTCCTAATGATTTTATTTTTAAATGTAAATTGCTGCTAGGTTTTGATGTCTGCATTTTGTTTTTACTTTCATCTCAATGACTTCATTATATACATGTTTAGTCTTGAGCTTTATTTACACGAAATCTTTTTCATCTTATCCATGATGGTTTTTTAATTTTATTGCATCAGGAGAATCAATTTGATTGTACATGGTACATTGCTATCAATGCTCATTCCTTAAAATTTCCAAATTATTATAATTATTGTTTTTTATCTGATGTAGTGGAATGATTGATTTCTAAATTTTGAGTATCTTTTCAACTGCATTTTTGTAAACAGAATCAATGGGTAGAAGCATTCTCTAGTCTGGTTGCTAGAGCCTCCGTCATTGATGTGATCTCGAGTGGCATGGCAGCTGGATCTAAAAATGGCGCTTTGCAAGTGGTGTGTCTCCAGGTCCTATCCTTTTTTAGTCTTTGGCAGTAAGCTGGCACTAATAAGGGGTTTTATTCTCAGATGCACGCGGAGTTTCAAGTGATTTCTCCTCTGGTCCCTGTGCGACAAGTGAGGTTCCTTCGATTCTGCAAGCAGCATGCGGAGGGTGTCTGGGCTGTGGTTGATGTTTCTATTGATGCAAACCAAGAAAGTTCAGATGTGAATCCATTTAATGTGTGCAGGAGACTTCCTTCTGGCTGTATTATGCAAGATATGCCCAATGGTTGCTGCAAGGTAACCGCTTGTGTATATATCTTTTTTTAGTTTGTATTTGTTTTTATTTTACATGCAAACTCTACTAGTCATTGTTGTAGGTGGCTTAATGAGGATGTTGTAATATCTGCAAGATTGAATAATTTCTACTTAGAGTTCAATTAGATTACATCATTTGAAATTTGGCAATTGGACCCCAAGTCAAGTCCCAACTTAAGTTGACTAATTGATTTAGTGAAATTAGTTTATTTTTTTTATCGCAGCAAAATAATCTTGCACTATTTGATGACACTAAATAAAATATATTAGGAATTTACCTGACAGTAGTCTGACCTTTATTATAATTTAATAAAGAAAGATGCTTCCTTTTAAATATTGCTTCCACTATTACAAAGCTAAAATTGCTTCTTGTCGTCTCAAAGTTAGTCAACTTATACTTTTGAGAATGAGGAAATCAAGGGTGCTCATATTGAATAAGTTACGCACACAGAGACATTTAATATCATTATATGATTCCTCCATCTTTAATTTAGTATATCTATGATCTTCCTGTCCAGGTAATTCTTGGAAGTTTCAATCTTCACGTTATAAACTATATATTTGATGCTTCTATTCCTATCTCTTATGCCTATACTGGTGATTATTTGTTGTTTACGAGGTGATTCGACCTAGATCCAGTCTTTATATTGTAATCTTATATCCTTAGTTCCAGGAAATCATCCTCTTAAGGTATAGAAGAGACTTCTATTTGATAATTGTTTCTCGACTTGCTTAAACTAACTTTTAGGTTTGACTTTGTTTGTCCTCCCTGCAGACTTCTTATATTTGGCCATATGATATTAGTATGTAAATGTTCTCTAGGTAGTTTCTCTTAACTCTAGTTGCAGACAACATCTTCCTCTCTGATGTTATGGTGTTTGTCTATTGGTGAAGATGGATATATGTTATGTCCATGTATTACTGGAGGTGAGGTAGATAATTTCATGATTGGGCAAGTGCATGATCTGTTTCCACAAATTTACTTCAATAAGACCACAACCTTGTAGTTGCTTTTAAAATGGGTCTTGTAAAAAATTTAGAAATGCAACAGTGTAAAATAATCAACCAAAAGGGGAACTAAAGAGTCTCAATAAGGTTGGAGCTGTGTTAGGAGGATTGGGTAATCCGAGTTTATGCCACCTTCCTACATTATATTATAGAAAAAATAACCGAGGGAGTAGAATAGTAGATCCATATTGCCATCATTGATGGGAAGATGGAACATTAGATTAGATCTCCTCAAAAAGCTTCATTTTGTTTTTTCACTTATCACCTAGCATTCTCCCTCAGTTACTTAGCTACTCTGCTACTGTGGTGGGCTCCTTTGTGAATCCTTGTTTTTGAACTTTGAGAAGAACCAAATCAAAGTTACGTTGAAAAGCTTTCTCTATGGATAACTTAGAGATGATAAACTTTCCTGGGGTTCACATTAAGTGCAGCTTCTAAAAATAAGTTTATCTGAAAAATATTCTTATAAAACCAATCTAGTTGAGGTAAATTCACCTTAGCAAATCCAAGTTTGTTTCTAGCAAGGTTACTGGGTTATGCCACATAATTAGAGTCCCTCCACCTTGGGCACACACAATGACCTATACGTATAAAATACATATTTGTATGTGTGTATTCTAGCATTTTGATCGATAATCAAATGCAGGTTACTTGGGTGGAACATTCAGAGTATGATGAGAGTGTAGTTCATCAGCTATACCGGACAGTACTGAGTTCCGGTGGAGGCTTTGGTGCTCAGAGGTGGGTTGCCACCCTGCAAAGGTACTGTGAGTGTATGGCAATCCTTGCATCTCCCACCATTTCTGGTGAAGATCAGACAGGTCTAGCTCTTCTATCTGATCCTTTCATGACTTGTTTAGTTTCTGTGACAATATGGCATGTGCCAGTATCTAATACATTGTATGGTACTATTATGCCATAGGGATAAACCTAAGTGGCAAGAAAAGCATGTTGAAGCTAGCACAGCGCATGGTGGATAACTTCTGTTGTGGAGTCAGTGCTTCATCTGTACGCAAGTGGGATAAGCTTCTAGTTGGAAATGTTGGTGAAAATGTTAGGATTTTGACCCGAAAGAACGTCAATGATCCTGGTGAGCCACCTGGTGTCGTGCTGAGTGCTGCAACTTCTGTATGGTTGCCTGTTATGCGACAGAGGTTATTTGATTTCTTGCGAGATGAACGGTTAAGGTGTGAATGGGACATTTTATCTCATGGTGGGCTGATGCAGGAGATGGTCCACATTACCAAGGGTAACAGCAGTGGGAATTGTGTTTCTCTCCTGCGTTCAAGCGTAAGTGTCCTTAAAACTGCATTTTGGTAGAACAAATTAACATTACATGTAGTATTTTAATAGAATAATCTCTGAAATCTCCAATTTTTCCATTTTATTTCATTTTACGGAGTGTATGTTATCCATTCAGATGACTTTGGCTTTGCAGGCTGTTAGTCCTAATACAAATGAAAGCAACATGCTAATATTGCAAGAAACATGGAATGATGCCTCAAATTCCCTGGTAGTGTATGCACCGGTGGACATACCATCAATGAGTGTAGTGATGAATGGTGGGGATTCTACCTATGTGGCCCTCTTGCCATCAGGGTTTGTGATTGTTCCAGATGATTCCTTGCGTCAAGGTGGTCCAAATTTCTGTAATGGGAATTTGGTCAAAAGAGATAGTGATGGCAATGATGGAGCCGGGTCTCTTCTTACAGTTGGCTTCCAAATTTTGGTGAATAACCTCCCTACAGCGAAGATCACAGTGGAATCAGTTGAGACCGTCAACAATCTCATCTCATGCACAATTCAAAGGATCAAAGCAGCACTTCAACTAAATAGCTGAAAGGGGTACAAAGTATGCAATTTTTTTTTTTTTTTTTTTTTAAAAAAAAAAGAGACCCGTCAACAATCTCATCTCGATGCACAATTCAAAGGGATCCAAAGCAGCACTTCATCAACTAAAATAGCTGAAAGGAGCGGCCTACAAAAGCTATGCCTAATTTTTTTTTTTTTTTTTTTTTAAAAAAATAAAATACTTGTTTAGGCTTTTTTGGTGTTCGCAACATACATACAGTGTGAAGAAAAAATATAGCCAGATTAGAAAATGCTTTCACAGCAATGAAAATGGAGTGGAGCTTGCAGACGCGTATATTAAGCTTGCATAAAAAAAAAGGGGTATGCAAGTCGCGCTAAAGAACGAAACCGCGATGTGACAAATTATTTGCTTTTTTTGCTTTGTGCCTGATTGCCTCGCCGGGATGGACCAGAAAGACTGTTCCGGGGGCTTGGTTCCTCAGTAGTTTGAAATCTCTCGTACGAGAATGAGATCTGGCTTATTGGTGTTCGGGTATTGACTTGGTACGTAGACCCGAGTATGCAATTTTTTTTTTTTTTTTTTTTTAAAAAAAAAATAGCTTTTTAGGCTTTTTTGGTTTCGAACATACATACAGTATGAAGAAAATATAGCAGATAGAATGTGAAAAATGAAATGGAGGGAGCTTGAGACGATAACTTGCATAAAAAAGGGGATGCAAGTCAAGAACGAACCGCATGTGGACAAATTTTTCTTTTTTTGCTTTGTGCTATGCTGGCAGAAAGACTGGGGGTTTATAGTTTGAAACTTCGACGAGAGATGATGGTTAGTGGTTCGGGTATTGACTTGGTTAGACCGGCGAGGCACTCTGCTCTCACTCTGGCTAATGTTTTGTTAAAGATCTTACATAGGAAAAAGAAGATAGACAGTGGAGGGACTGCTAGCCCCACTCTTTTTACTTAACTGTTAAAACAGTTTTAGTTGTCTTTTTGACTAATATTATTCTTGGTTCTGAAATTTCCTCTGGCTTAGCCTTTTTTCTACTGTCTGCTTTTCTTTATATGCAAAACTGTCATGAATATAAGCGCTAATTACTATTTTTAAGGATATAAGCCTTTTTTCTACTGTCTGCTTAGCCAAATAAAGAATGATCATTCCGAGTGCGGCCAAGTTCTATAGGAGAAATGTTTTTGACTAAGTACTATTTTTAAGTACATGAAAAAAAAAAATACTACTTTTATGGGATCACTAATTTTCATTTATTTAGAAATAATAAATTATTATTAAATGTGACTAATAAGAATTTATAATTAAGAATTTGTTAAATATTATACAATCTCTATAACTAATGCCCACGTATGAAATTTTTTTGAAGATTATATATCATCTGTTTAAGTTTCAAACAAATGTATTTTCATTTTTAAATTATGGTTATATGTTTGTAATTCTTTTAATTAAATGCCTTTATTAAGTCAAATACATCGAAAAATGACATTCTAAAATAAATATGATAAATAAGTTGAGTTTGAGGCTCTAGGCCCCACTTTCTATATGATAATTATTGGGCCTCCGCCCATATTTATCGCAATACATGGGCAAAGCCTTCTATGTTCTAAAATCCTCGTTCAAAATGCAATTTCCCCGTTTCAGTCATGGTCAGGGCTACGTTCGACCAGCAAAACCCTAAACCCTGGACACACCAACTGATCAGTCATGAAAATGCTTTTCTTCATTTCCCTCAAATTCAATACCAGAGTATTAAAGAATATCCAATCGAGCTTCTACAATCTCAGCTTCACAAAATCAATGTCCCAATCCACCTCCATTCCCAAAAAGCAGCTGCGAGTGCGCGACCATGGCTATGACAATTACATGGAAATCGAGAAGAAAACCCGTAAGGTCCTAAAGTTCCAGTCCCTAATTCTTTCCCAATTTAACCAGACAATACAAATCTCTCGACTTGACGCACTTGCTCGCCGCCTCGGCTTTAAGCAGTACCAGGCCGGCGCTTTTGTACTGAAATTCCCTCACATTTTCGAAGTCTATGAGCACCCTGTTCAACGCATCCTGTATTGTCGTTTAACACGCAAAGCCCTTCTTCAAATTCAACAAGAAAAGGAAGCCTTGATCGCCCAGATACCCGACTCTGTGACTCGCTTGAGGAAACTGATAATGATGTCGAGCACGGGTCGTCTGCGATTGGAGCACGTACGGATTGCCAGGTCAGAATTTGGATTGCCTGATGATTTTGAATATTCAGTAGTTCTTAAAAACCCACAATATTTTAGATTAATAGATGCCATAGACACGAGGAATAAGTACATTGAGATTGTTGACAGAGACCCTATGTTAACAGTTTGTGCAATAGAGAAGGCTAGGGAGAGAAAATATAGGGAAAAAGGAATGGCAGCTGAAGATATAAGATTTTCGTTTATCATCAATTTTCCACCCGGGTTTAAGATAGGAAAGTATTACAGGATTGCGGTGTGGAAATGGCAAAGGACTCCTTATTGGTCGCCTTATGAGGATATTTCAGGTTATGATTTGAGGTCAATTGAGGCTCAGAAGAGGATGGAGAAGAGAGCAGTGGCAGCAATTCATGAACTGGTGTCTTTGACTGTGGAAAAGAAAATCACATTGGAGAGGATAGCCCATTTTAGAATGGCTATGCATTTGCCTAAGAAGTTGAAGGAATTTTTACTTCAGCATCAGGGGATTTTTTATGTCTCAACTAGAGGGAATCATGGTAAACTGCACACAGTATTTCTTAGGGAGGCATATAGGAGGGGAGAATTGGTGGAGCCTAATGATTTGTATTTGGCAAGGAGGAAGTTGGGTGAGCTAGTGTTGTTTAGTCCGAGGAAGGCCAAGATGGATAGGGAGTTAGTTAGCTATAGAAGGGATAGAAGAGATGAGGAAATGGAGCGATTTGGAAGAGACTGTGTGGAAAATAATTTTGAGGCTGGCAAGGTTGGACAAGATGGGGAGTTTGAAGATGATTTGAACTCAGACTTGGGTAGTGATGTTGGCTCTGATTTTACTGATGAGAGTGATGACAATGGTGCTGTTGATATTGTCAATGCAGAGGAGGCTCATGTAACTAGTGACTGAGGTAGGATTGATAGTAAGGGTTCTTGCTGGTCTCAATAGTTCTTGTAAATCATGTACCTTTTGTAATAAAAAAAAAAGGTCTAACATCTCACTGACATTATTAGGCTGGAGAATCAACCTTGCTTGAATTTATTGGAGACATGAGATGAATGTCATTTGGAATTGGATTATTAAAGAAGACTTGTAGTTCACAGGAAATTTCTGGTGCTTCAAGTGAACTTTTATCACGCTATCCGCAAGACTTTTTGGCTGTTGAAGGAATTCAAATAAGACAGGGCAAGTGGCTGTTCTTAGAATCATTTTAAGTCAAGGTGGATATTTGTTTATTTATTTGTTTCTACACAATATTCATGTTCTGATATGAAAAATAAACTGCTGTTCGTGGCCTCTGCTTTGCCATAATAGCTTCTTATCCTCGTATGTATTGATTTTTGTACTTGTTTAATCAATCTGAAGATGATCTAAAGCAATTCTATTACATTATTGATTCTTAAAATTTTCTCACTTGGGAATTATATATGGATCGTTCAACCATATCAACTGAAGCACGTATTTTTCTGTCTTCTGAGGCCATGAAGATGGACTGCACAAGTTTAAGTTATTTTTGTCAAAACTAACCATTTAGTTGCTGATAGCAGGGTTGCTTTAACTGCTTTTCCTGGGTTTTGTTTTCCACATCTGATTACAGTCTGCATATCGCTTTTCTCATTCTTTTATTGTGATTCTTAAATATTTGCGTCACTATTGGGAATGTATATATGCGATCGTTCAAGCCATAATCAACTGCAAGCACGTTATTTTTGCTGTCCCTTCTCGAGGCCATGAAGATGGATCGGCACTCAAAGCTTTAAGTCGTTATTTCTTGTCATAGAAGCTAACCATTTTCAGATTTGCTGAATAGCAGGGTTTTAAACTGCCTTTTCCGTGGGTTTTGTTCTTCCACATCGACTTACAGTGCTGCTGCTATATCGTTTTGCATTGCTTTACACAGGCATCTTGTGCTGGGAGGACAATTGAGGTTGTTGTGGCTATGTTAAGAGGAGCCAATGTTATGAGAGCTTTTATAGATCAATCTCAAGAAGTGAATGAAGCTTTAGAAAGTTCGAGTTTATAAGAAAAAAGATGTTATTATCCGTATGTTTGAAATATATTATGTTTCAAAATAATATAATATAGAGAATAAACCGTCCGTGAAATATCTATAATAAGAGATTACATGTTTTCATATGTTTTTATTCAACCTGGTTGTCAAATTATTTATTTTAAAATTTAGTTGGAGAATATACAGTGAAAGAAAAAGGCAATAATTTTATTTCATTTCTATATACTATTCACAAGCTGTGTAAACATTGCACAATTTTGACAAATCGATTTAATAACTCAGTGTTGAGATGTTAAGATACAGCCACTAAAGATGCCTGGTTTCCTGAGGTGTGTGTTTCTCGGGGAGATGCGCCTTCCTTAAAATTAGTAGAAGCTAACTGTTTATCATATACGTGGTTGTAAAATTCACTGTTAGAGTATGAAGTTAGTGTAACTAGCTGTCTCCTTGTCTAACTATTTGGTTGATGCGCCGAATGAAGAATCCAGCCTTTTTCTCTATATATAATATCTTCGGCGCAGAATGGAATTCAGCTTTTAAGGTGCTTCACAGCACAGCAAGCACGATGCTTTCTCCAAATTGTAAAAAAATAGGGCAAAAAAAGATGAGAAATAAAATACGTATCATGATGATGCAAGCAACAACAACAGAGCTGGGGAACGTTTGGCAATTAATGTGCAGGATCAAAGGATGGGCAACAACACATTCAAATTGCTTATCGAAGTAATTAGAAGTTGTCTGTTTTGCTTTGATTATTTATCTTAGAAATACTCCTGATGTGGTATTCGCCTCATATTCTTTTCAAACGTTACTGCCCTTATCCCCTATTTTCCAACAAAAAAAAAAAAAAAAAAAAAAATACTATCATATTATCAACAACAACAACAAGCTTGGGAACGTGCAATTAATTCAACAAAGGTGGCAACAACAATTCAAATGCTTATCGAGTTAGAGTTATTGTTTTGCTTTGTTATTTCTTAGAAATATCCTATGTTATTCGCTCTATCTTTTCAAACTTCTGTTTCCCTATTTTCCACTTTTTTTAATTTTAGTCGTGTGTTCTTGTTTTTGTCAGGACTTTGGAGAAAGCAGGGTAGATTTTTACGGGTCTCCGCTAAATCACAATGAGTCTTTATAATTACTCCCTTTGTCCATAAATATAAAATATTTTAGATAGTTAATTTTCCTTTATCTATAAATATAAATTGTTTTGAGAATGTTAAGGAGTAATTGATAATTTTTTTAAATTTTTTCTTTATATATATATATTATTAATTATATGAGATGAAAGATAATTCAATTAAATTACAAAAGTTTTATTATAATTTAGAGAATTTAATTTTTTTTTAATCATTATGCAAAAACTTTAAACGATTTATACTTGCAGTCGGAGGATAGTTAAATAGAGTTAATACCAATATATTATAGATACTAGATTTATTGTAGATGTCCAATACTCATTTGAAAAATAAAACTTAAAAACATAAGTTTGGATGTGAAAGGTTAAACATGGAGAATTGAAAGATTATAGCAGTGTTACTTGTTAATAGTTATTATAATGAATTTTTAATTACCTGTTAATGATATTATATTACAAAATTTAATTTATATATAGATTTTATTATAATGAATTTTTAATTCATATAGGATACTAATAGACCGCAAAATTTGGAGTGTACACTCCTCTGCACCGGCAACAATAATTTTTGGATTTTTTTGATTTTTTATGTAAAAATGTTGTTATATTATTATAATATTTTTGAGTATTGGGGTCAGGGAATTCGAACTTGAACCTATAGTCAGGTTGTAAATATATTTACCGCCAGACAATATCTTGGAGTGCAATGTTGTTTTGATATTTGATTACAGTAACTTTTAAAATAATAATTTTTATATTTTTCAACTATCTAATCAGTGTTTTAATGAATTTAATTATATAAATTGAAGAGTTCTATAGGTCAAGTTGAAGCGTTAATTAAGTTGAATTTTAAATGCGGAGTAATTAATAGTAGAAATTGATTTTTTTGGTCCATGAATTTATATATTTGATTAACTGTTATATATGTATATCGATCACTGTCAGAAATAAAGTAATTCGTCACAGTGGAAAATTTGGGAATTTTCAGAAGATTCATCCCATATCTCTTGAATAAATTAAAGACAAATTAATAGAATCAAAGAAATCAAATGGAATATGGATCACAAGACCTAGTAGCCCCACTTCAAAAGATTCGATTGCATTGAAGACAACGACTTGTGAATGAATATGAATCAGTAGTTATTGTAGCAGATATTTGATTGGTCGGTTTCTACTTTTCTCCAGAAACAAACACCATCCTGACGGAGAAAGATAAAGAAGAAGTAGAACAGTCTCTTTCACTATGTTCTACAATTACCGAATAGAATAAATCTTTATGAACAACTAAATCTTTATGAACTTGACACGTACTTGGAGATCAGAGAATACAAATTTCTCTGAGAATATATTATTTATTTGTTACTTTGTTGTAACAGGAAAAAGCTAATTTCACATTTCAATGTTCCTTGACCGGCCTTTCTACTTCAAGTCCGTCACTCATCTCAGCAATCAGCATAAATTAAGGCAAAAGTCTGCTTTTTTCTTAATCATTTTTGACATTCGATACGTGTCTTTGTGTTAAAACTTCAATCTTCCTTGATTCAACTTGACATGTGTCGTTATGTAACCATATGCATCTTTTAAAGCTCCATTAGCCTTTTTGGTCATAAACTCATAAAACTAGGGCATGTGTCCTTCTCCCGACCGTTTAATCTTATCCCACCTCAGCCCTCCATGTATTGATGATGCAGTTTCAGCTGTATTCTAGTATTTGTGTTTACGAGGAAAACACAGATAGTTTTGATAAGCTGAAACACTGCAAGTGAGGAATATTATAAGCAAATAAACAAAATTCTTTAAAAGCAAAAAAAAAAAAAAAAAAAAAAAAATAAACAAATTCTTAAAAGCGAAAAAAAAAAAAAAAAAAAAAAGAAGGGCCTAATAATGAAAAGGCAAAAAGAGTTATTCGAGTAACACAGCATACAAAGAAAAAAAAAAAAAAAAAAAAAAAAAGAAGGTAAATGAAAAGCAAAAAAGGATCAGAAACACATACAAAGGAACAGAATGTGATCAAAACAAAAAGGCACGACCCCATATCTCTCGTCTTGTTGGGCGTCCCACTAGATATCTCTATGTTTATTCGATAAGATAGAGCAGAAGCATAGGAAGAATGATGAGGACAAACTGTAAAAACATAAAGGTAGAAATGAGATTCTGCAATTTGCCAATGTATATATCATGGAAAAAAGGAAGATAGTAACAGGAAGGAGAGAGAAAATACAACGTTTGTTTTTTCCAATTTCCAGAACCACAAAAGATGCACACAGGCCCACAAATAATAAATTTTTAAGGCTACTTTTCCCAGGCCGAAGTCCATTTAATGCAACGGGCAAAAGTTAGAGAATAAGAAGTCCATCAAGGCCCAATTGGCATTGACAGTGACTATAAACTTCTAAACCACGAAAAAGATATAAAACCGGCCCAACATTCCTGTTTTAATTGCAAACGGAGGCCCATTCATTTAATAAACCTAATTGCCGACGTTATATTTATATCCCTTCTTTTGAATCTTGAAGAGGTTCATTTTAAAGAAATTGAAATTGTGAAAGATAAAAAAAAGTTTCTTTTATTTTCCTTTCAATCCTCTTCAAAAATTCATCCAAATCCTTCATTTTTTATCTTCTTTCCTCTCATAACCAAACATAATGTTAAATAAAGACATTTTCTCCACAATTGCACGAAACAAAACATTTTTTAAGCGTGCACGCATCTTACCATGGCTATCAAATCCAAACAACTACACCTTTTTTTTTTTTTTTTTTTTTTTTTTTTTTTTTTTGTTTGGCTTCCAGGAAAACGCCTTTAGAGTGTAATCCTCATTTAGAGAGGATGGAAGAGGAATATATCAAAAAAAATAACACCACCACATATACACCACAACCACAAAAAAAAAAAAACACCCCACAC